ACGAAAGCAGGCAGCAGGCCAGATTTGGCCTCTGGTCCATTGTTTTCCACTTCCCGGTCTACAAGAGCCCAGCACATCATCTTGTTATTATATCACTACAGTAAGACCTGATGAGCAGTAGATCAAAGGTCTTTTTGTTGTTCTTCAAAATAGTCCTGATTATTTTTATTCCTTTGGTCTTGCATACACATTTTAGGCTTTGATTCCCAAGTTCCACGTAAAACCCTTTATAAATTGTGATACCTGTTAGGGGGTATCTCCAGGTGGCAAGGACTGCCACTTCATTATCCAGTAACTATTCTCTCTCCTTCTTTGCTAAAAGAACGCTATATATATATAGGTATTGGTTGGCCATAAGTTTATGGCATCTTCCTATCTAGATTCAGTGGATGAATACTGATTTCTTCATCGATTCACACAAATATTTGTCAAATGCCTACTATGAGCCAGCCACTGTATTAGGTGCAGAGGATACCTCAATAATTAAAATTAAGATCCACTGTGAAGCATTCAATTCAGCAGGGAAAGACAGTTAACAAACATCAGATAGATGATAGATACATATGTACGTACATACGTATGTACATACACACGTAGGTGGGTAGATAGATACACAGGTAGGTAGGTAGACAGACAGATAGATGTTGATTAAAAGGTGACAATACTATGGAAAAAATAAAAAGGATGGTGTAAAGGGCATCAGCAGTGCCAGTGAGGTGGCTGCCATTTAAAATCAAGCAGTGTCTCAGTTTCCTAAGGTTGAGGTAACAAAGTACCATGGAGTGTGGGCTTAAACAACAGAAATTTACTCTCTCAACAGTTCTGGCGGCAGAAGTCCAAAATCAAGGTGTTGGTAGGACTGGCTCCTTCTGAGGGCTGTGAGGGCAGGATGTAATAGGCCTCCCTTCTGGACTCACAGACCTGTCTTCTGTGTCTCTTCACATCATCTTCCCTCTATATGTATGTGTCCCTCCTTTTTGATATAAGGACACCAGTGGTATTGCATTAGAGCTCACTCTAATGACTTCACTCTAACTTCATCAGCTCCATACAGGTGATCCTGTATGGAGCCCCTTTCCTCCCAAATAAGGTCACATTCTGGTACCGGATGATCCAACTTCAACACATGAATTTTGGGAAGACACAATTCAATCCCTAATAGGCAGTGAGGGCAGAATTCATTTGTAAGGTAACACACCCTAACTCTAATCTTTTTCCATAGGGCTCTGCAATAAGAGAACTTTGTTGACTAAAATATCTAAAACTTAGTTCCGAATGCATTGAGCCAAAAAGCAGTTGGCTTTTCCAGCCCTTTGAAGCCCAAATCTGTGGAACTGCTACTCCCTTACCATCTATCTCCTAAATTCATCTCATTCATCTTGCCAACCTCAACCAACAGCTGTTTACAACCACCCCCACTTTGATCCTCTTCCACCAATTCCTCTACAGCTGATGAGACACTGGGCACATGGTCAGCTTGTAACTAAGTCAATTTTTTTTCACTTCTTGCCATGTAACAGGAAAACCAACTCCACAGATTTAATCAATCTGTGCTTAATTCATGGATGAATGCTAAGACAACACTTTCTGATTCCCCATGTGCCTATAGCGTTGGTCATGGAGATGCTGGGGCCTTTCTTAAAAGTCTTCAGTGGTTTCCCACTACCCTTAGGATAGCGCCAAGATGCTTAGACAGATGGACAGGCAGCAAGGAGTAGCAGAACATCTGCAGATGCGGGAGCCAAAGTGACCTGGGTGTGAAGCCTGGCTCCTCCACTTCTTACTGTGCAACCTGGGACAAGTCACTTTGAACTCAGAAAATGGAAGAAGTAATACTCATTAACAGAATTAGTGTGAAAACTAAATGAGACGGTGCATGTAGCTCACATGCCACCTAACTCGTTTTAACGTAACTAGTTTCCTTTCTTCCCCGCAGATCCTAATTTCCACTTAGTAGCTGCTTCATTTTAAGATATGACATGACAACAATGACAATATAAAGAGGGAGAGGACATTGTTTGAGGGAGGTCTGAGTGAATTTGTCTCTGAAGAGAATAACAATTGTGGTTTGTATTTATTTTTTAATGTTAGAATAGCTAATTTTATAAGACCCTCTACTATATGCCAGACATTATCCCATTTGAGATCTGCCACACTCGCTAGTTATCTTTCAAATAAAGCTTCAAAATTTACTAGCCATGTGAATTTGGGAAAATTACTTAAAATTTCCAAACTCTAGTTCTGTTAACTATTGGGGGGGGGGGGTAATATTATATTCTACATAGAGTTACAGATAGAAATAATGCATTAAAGGGCTTAGCAGATTGGCTACTTCCTATTAACACGTCTATAAATGAAGATAAGTTACAAAAAGCACCAATTACTACTACTATTGTTATTAGCATTCACTTGGAGCTGGAAATTTTCTCATTTCCCAGAAATAGCTGGTTTTCCAAATATTTTTAAAAAATCAACTTTAGAGGGCTGGCCCCATGGCCAAGTGGTTTGGCATCCCAGGTTCATGAGTTCGAATCCCAGGCTCAGACCCACTTCACTTATCAGCCATGCTGTGGCAGCATCCCATATACAAAAAAGTAGGGGGAAGATTGGCACAGATGTTAGCTCAGGGCTAATCTTCCTCAAGCAAAAAAAAGAGGAAGATTGTGAACAGATATTAGCTCAGGGCAAATCTTCCTCAACAAAAAAATAAATTTATTTAAAAAAAATCAACTTTATTGAAGCAAAATTTACATACAACAAACTGGATCCATTTCAACTGTATAGTTTGATGACTTTAACAAAAGAATAGTCATGGAACCATCACCACAAACACAATACAGATCATTCCAATAGTTCCCTATGGCCCTATTTTCAGTCAGTTGCTCTCCAACCCTTAGCCACAGGCAACCACAGATTCATCAGTGGTCATTATAGATTACGTTTTCTAAAGTTTTATAAATGGGAGTCACACAGTGTGTACTCTTTTGTGTCTGACTTCTTTTACTTAGAATGTTTTTGAGATTTAACCAAGCTGTTGGGTATATCATTAGTTTATTACCTTTTATTGCTCCATTATATGGAAATACTACAATTTGTCTATCCATTCACATTTTGTGAATTATTATACATGGTATCTGTTGTGTTCATTATATTTGTGTTTGTTCCAGTCTCAGGCTACTATGAATAATGCTGAACATTCGTGGGCATGTTTTTGTATGGACATGTTTTCAATTCTCTTGGGTATATACCTAGGAATGGAACTGATGGCTCACATGGTAACCGTATGTTTAGCATTTTTTTTTAAAGATTTTATTTTTCCTCTTTCTCCCCAAAGCCCCCTGGTACACAGTCGTATATTTTAGTTGTGGGTCCTTCGAGTTGTGGCATGTGGGACGCCACCTCAGCATGGCTTGATGAGCAGTGCCACGTCTGTGCCCAGGATCCAAAACAGCGAAACCCTGGGCCGCTGAAGCGGAGCGCATGAACTTAACCGCTTGGCCACGGGGCCAGCCCTGTTTAGCATTGTGAAGACATGGTAAACTGTTTTCCAAAGTGGCTGTAATATTTTATACCCACCAGTGATGTAAGAGGGTTCTAATCTCTCCAATCCTCATTAACATTTGTTACTATCTTTTTTGTCTTAGTCATGCTACTGGATGTGAAGTGCTATCTCCTCATGGTTTTGACTTGCATTTCCCTAACGACTAAAGATGTTGAGCATCTTGACATAGGTTTCCTGGCCATTCATATGTATTCTTTTGTGAAGCATCTGGTAAAATACTTTGCACATTTTTCTTTTTATTGGTTGGTCTTACTTACAATTTACAAGGGTTCTTCGTATTCTGGATACAAGTCTTTGTCAGATGCACACGCTGTGAATGTATACTAGTCCATGGCTTGCCTTTTTATGTTATTAATAGTGTTTTCAAAAGAGCTGGAGTTTTTAATTTTTATTAAGTCAAATTTATCATTTTTCTTTTATGACTCATGCTTTTTGTGCTATAAGAAATCTCTGCCTAGCTCAGGGCCATGAACATTTTTTCTGTTTTCTTCTAGATATTTAAAAGTTTCAGCTTTTCCATTTAGGTTTGCGATGCATTTTGAGTTATTTTTTGTATGTAATGAGGTAAGGGGAGGGTTGTTTTTTTCCATACAAATATCCAGTTGTTACACCATCATTTGTTTAAAAGACTCTTTTCCACATTGAATTATTTTGGCACTTCTATCAAAAATCTAATTGACAACATGTGTAGGTCAATTTCTGGACTCTGTCCTCTTTTACTGCTCTATATTTATCCTCATGCCAACATTTTATTAATGTAGTTCTATAGTAAACTTTGAAATTAGGTAGTATAAGCCCTCTAACATTGTTCTTCTAAAAAAATTGCTTTGGATATTTTATGACTTTTGCATTTCCATCTACATCTTTGATTAGTTTGTCAATTTCCACATGAATACCTCTGAACCTAAAGATTAATTTGGGGAGGACTGTCAATTAACCAATATTGAGTTTTCCCACTCCTGATCATGATACATTTCTCTGTTCATTATGTATTTTTTACGTGTTCTTGAAATTCTTTCAGCAATATTTTATACTTTTCACTGTACAGATCTTGCTCATTTCATCAAACTTATCCAAGCATTTCATATTTTTGTATCATTCTAAATGGGACTGTATTTCTGATTTCATTTCCAAATTGTTCCCTGCTACTACATAGTAATGAAATCAATTTTTGTATATTGATCTTGTATCCTGTGACTTTCACAAATTCCCTTAAAGTTCTAGTTGCTTTTTGTAGATAAGAACTTTTAAAGAGAATATATTCCATCACTGCAGAGACTGTTTTCCTGATCCTAAAAGTAATATATATTCTTTGAAGAGAGTGCAAAGAACAGAAAAGTACAAAAAAAATATAAAAGCAAATACCAATTCTCCCAATATGTAGGTTAACTGCTATTAATCTTTTGAGAAATTTCCTTACAGTTTTGAGCAAGATTCATTTTTTTAAAAATTCATTTATTTTTACATATTTGACCTTACTCCATATTGACTACTATTTATCATGCTTTTTTTATAACACTTGACAGCATCAAAATTTTTTATTATCAAACTTTCTGTTTGCATAATTTTAATGTTTGCATACTATTCCATTACATTGATATGCTACAATCATTTTGCTATTATACATTTTTACATATCGAAAATTTTGCACTATTATAAGTAATGTTTCCGTGATCATCCGTAGACATCTATCTCTTCTCACATTCCTTAGGGTACGAATAATAGTAATATAATTACTAACAGCTAACACATATAGTACTTACTATGTGCCAGGCACTGTTTTAAGTACTCTATACACACTATCTCACTTCGTCCCCACAACAGCCCTCCGAGGGAGATACTAGCAGCATCCCCATTACACAGTTGAGGAAAATTAAGTCATAAGTTATTAGAAATGCTAAGAGGCTCAACTGGAGGGGCTGCTCTTCTACTCCCATAAAGAACCACTGCTTATGAAGAAAACCATTTCTGACAGGAGTATGTCATGCATATGAATGGCATGTAAGCACCGAGAAGAGCAGCAACTGGGATCCAGTTCTGGGTTGGACTTCATTCAAGACGTGAGACCTGTGCCAGCTCCCCTCATCTCAACTGCAAGTGAAGAGTACAAGTGATACGGTCTCATGCTCCCTGTAGTTTCAAGTCTCACAATTTAAACAATCATTTCTAGATTTTCCCGGAGAGACACCAAGAGCTTTGTCCTGCTGGTCTCAGCAATATTTATTTATCATTCAAAAATCAACCACTGAGCACCTAATATATATCTTGTTTGCCAGAAAATGGCAAATAATGATCAGTCCCTACACACAGATCCATTTATAGAATGAAGGAGAATTAAAACAGATTCTCTTTATCAATCTTTTTTGGGTCATGGACTTACCAGTGACTCTCAAGATTAGGATCCTCCCCCTAGAAGGAAAAACCTTTGTACAAAGAAAATAAATTTGCATACAATATTAACAGTTGTTTACTGATCCTCGCAAATGAGTCCATAAACCTACTCTGGGTAATTCCCTCAGGCTGCCAAGTTCTGATGTAGGTAAAAAGAGAAACACGTATGACTGAAAGAGAAGTGAGAACTCAGTGTGCTTTTACTAGCACTCAAGCAGGTGTAAATTAAATGACAGACACCAGGGTGACGCAATAGCAGTAATATTAATAATCACAGCTAATAATGATAAAGTACTTAACATAGGTCAGGCACTATTCTAAACTGTTTATACCTTTACTCATTTAATATCACAATCTGACGAGGTAAGTGATCTTATCCCTAATTTACAGAGGATACCTGTAAATCAGGCACAGAACAGCTAGGCAGCATGCCCAAGTTCACCAGCAAGCTAAGGACAGAGGTGGGATTTCAATTTGGGAAGGCTAGCTAAGAGTTATGCTCCTAAGTCTCTTTATAAAGACAAAAGACTGCCTTGCAAAGAGGGTGGCTTTGGCCAGTGCTGTTTATTTCATGAGCATACTTGCTCTAAGTCTTGCCCAGGTACCTGCTCCCACTCAAATGAAGACCCTCCCTGACGTGTTCAAATACCCAGTGTTCCTCTAAGTCCCAATGTCCAGAGAATCACTGTGTTTTTAAATTCCTAGGAACCTTTAGCACCATGTCTCAAAGATACACCTCTAACTGTGCCCCAAACAACTTAGAATTAATGGGAAGTGTGCTGGCAGGTGGTTCTCAAGCTTCCTTGATGGTAGAATAGAGAAACTAGATATCCTTTTTTAATATTTAAAAACATCTTCAAATAATTATTACAGTAACAACGATTAGACTATAAAACGAACTCATTACCCCACTATCTCACAAATCAGTTCTGCCCATTTATCCATACTTTTTCAATTCTTGTCCACATGCAAATATATTTTAAAATGGGTACCACAAGTAAATGTATTGTTCTTTTCCTGCTTTACATTATAAGCATCTTCCCCGCTGCTAACCAAAACACAGTTCATATCAGACACATAAAGCAGACTAAGCGTCCCAGAAAACAGGGACAATCAAGTAAAAAATGGCTTATTAATTCCCTGGAATATTATTTTGCATCTTTTGTTACAATACCAATTTTTTATTCTTCTCAGCAACAACTCTCCTCTATTTATCCTATTGAAGTAGCATGTTCATTTATTTCTTTTTTGAAGGAGGTAACACAGCTGGATCATCTCTCAACAACTCACCTACTTAATGTTTCCTTTTCAGATTTTAGCATTTAAGGCTTGGTCAAGAATGCTCCCAGGTCAACTAACTTTTGTAGGAATTTGTGGAAAGGAGAAAATCTGACATATTTGTGTACTAAAATAAAATTTGTGGGTTTTTTTCCCCCTTTAGGACCGTTTCTCTAGGGCACAAAAGGGTGGTAACAGGATTGAAAGCTTTTCCACATAGATTACATCTGTACAGCTTCTCTCCAGAAGGAGTCCTCCAATGCAAAATAAAGCTATTGCTCTTTGTGAAGAATTTTCCATATTCACTATGTTAGTAAGTATTTTCTGTAAGATGGTTTGTCTGGTATCTAATAAGGGTAGAGCTACTGACAAGTGCTGTCCCACACTGATGACACGTTAAGATTTGCTCTCCAGTGTGAGCTATTTGATGTACTATAAATGGAGAGTTCTGGCTGAAGACAACTCCACACTGATTACATTTATAGGTCTCTTCTCCAGTATGAATCCTCTGGTGCTTAATAAGGTCATTCTTCCGAATGAAGGCTTTTCCACACTGACAACATTCATATGGTTTCTCCCCAGTATGAATTCTCTGATGCACAATGAGGGCAGAACTCTGGCTGAAGGATTTTCCACAAGCACGGCATTCATATGGCTTCTCTCTGGTATGGGTTCTCTGATGTGAATAAAGGTGAGAGCTTCGACTAAAGCATTTTCCACAGTCTTTACATTCGAAGGGTTTTAGTCCAGTGTGGGTTCTGTGATGTACAACGAGGTGAGATCTTTGGCTGTAAGACTTCCCACATTCATTACATTCATAGGGCCTCACTCTGACATGAGTTCTTTGATGCAGAATGAGATGTGTGTTCTGTCTGAAAGATTTCCCACATTCAGGACATTCATAAGGTTTCTCTCCAGTATGGGTTCTCTGATGCCTAATAAGCCTGGAGCTATGAACAAAAGATTTCCCGCACTGATTACATGTGTACAGTTTGTCTCCTGTATGAGTTCTCTGATGGGTAACAAGGTGAGAGAACCAGCTGAAGGATTTTCCACATTCTTTACATTCATAGGGTTCTTCACCAGTATGAGTCTTTTGATGTCCAATGAGATGAGAACTCCGGCTGAAAGATTTTCCACATTCTTTACATTCATAGGGCTTTTCTCCGGTATGAATAAGCCGGTGCCTGGTAAGATTAGAGCGCCAGCTGAAGAACTTTCCACATTCCTTACATTCATAGGGTTTCTCTCTGTGTATACCCTTTGATATACCAAGGGATGTACCGTGAGTAAGAGAGCTATCATTATCGGGGCATTTGTAGGATTTATCTACCGTTTGAGTTCTTGAAAATTGAATAAGGTGAATGTTTTGACAGAAGGTTTGACCACAGTCCTTACTATTATTTGAATAGCTCTCCTCATGACCACTAAAAACTAAATCATGTTTTAAACTTTTGGTACATGAGTCATGTTTATGGAAATACTCTCTCAGGATTAGCTGAGCAGGAAGAAGACAGTTCCCCCCATATTTACCATTTTCACAGACTCTCTCCTGAGTAAGTACTTTCTTTTGGGTGAATGCCACTTGCCTCAAATGTCTCTCCTGGCTTTCTTGATACTTGTCCAATTGGTCTTCACATCTCCAGACTTCTTCTAATGACAAACACCAGAGATCATTCTTTGCCATTCCTTCCATTTTAATGTCACAGGACTGTTTATCTTTAGAAATGCTCTTACTGGAAACTGATGATTTAATTTCACCTGCAGTCTCCAAATCTGAAAGAAAAGAAAAAGCTTTGCATAACTAAAAAAAGTATTAAGGTCAGAATGGTGGGATGTACGTGGAGACAAAGCATGTAAGCTGTGCAGCGTTGCTTTCCAGTATAGTTTTGTAACCTCAGTGGAGAAAGAGAAATGGAGGAACAGAGCAGTAAGCAGGAAATGCGTCAGGTATGTGGTACATAAAAGACATAAAAGGAGCAAAGAGAGTAAAGCCACAGGACTGGGCATGACGCATGGGATCAGGATATGCAGGGTAGTGTGGCAATAAGGGAAGCCCATAGAAAGGACTTCACCCCCTTATCTAATCCCAGCACTACTCAGACAAGAACCTAAAGTGTCTACTTGTTGCCAGGCCCTTCCCCTGATATGCATTCTTCACACTACTGCCAAGGCAATATTCCTAAACCATGAATGCAGCCACATGTCAGGCAATGCCTTTTATCTACATCACCAAAGCACTACAGAGTCATGCCCAGATGACGGACACAACAAACCTCTCAGAATGGCCATGTGACGGGCTGGAAGAGCAGGAGCACGGAAGTCACCCAGATACAGGTTCTAATGTAAGCTGTACCACCACTACTGGTTAACTCGAACAAGCTGTTAGACTTTTCAAAAATCATTTTGCTTATCTGTAATCTAAGGATGACAGTATTTGTCATGTAAGATTATTGTAAGTATTATATAAGGTGTGAGCTCATCACAGTCTCTGACACATGTATGGTCAAAGTGATACCATTTATGGTAATTACTATTCCTATCTCCTATTTTGAGTACTTTGTTCTGAGACATCAAGACTTAACAACTGACAGGGCTAGCACCACAAGACACTAACTCAGAACATGCATGCTAACTTATATTCTCCTGAACTTTTTGCCCTTCTGCTTATACCCACAGATATTACTGCAAATTAGTCTCCCTTCTAAGAGTCGACGTTTGTTTTTCAACGCCTTTCAGGTAGAATGTTTAGTTCTGAACCAAGGAAAAACTCCACTGTTTACCACCTCTCCCTACAGTGGGGTGATAGTCTACTCTTACCTGGTGTATGGGTTGCATTTTGTCTCCCAAAGAAAGTATGTTGAAGTCCTAACCCCCAATATTTCAGAATGTGACTGTATTTGGAAATGGGATCATTGCAGATATAATCAGATGAAGGGTGGGCCCCAATACAATACAACTGGTGTTCTCGTAGGAAGAGGAGAGGAGACACAGAGAAAGACACACAGGAAAATGCCTCGTGAAGATGAAGGCTGACTGGAGTGACGCATTTACAAGCTAGAACAGCTGGGGCCACCAAAGCTGGAGGAGGCAGGAAGGATCCTCTGCCAGACTCCAGAGGGAGCACGGCCACGCGACACCTCCATTCAGAATCTGGCCTCTACAACTGCGAGACGAGAGGTTCTGTTGTTTTAAGCCACCGAGCCCGAGGAACTTTGTTTTGGCCCAAGAAACTAACACACAGGGTGAACAGCCCCTGCCAGGCTTCTAACTGCTTTCTTTGTACAACCCAACCCCTACCAGTCCTATCTTCATTTACAACTTTGTTAGATACTCATTTCTTCCCCAGCCTTATTCATTTTTCTTTTTATTGTAGTAAAATACACATAACATAAAGTTTACCATGTTATCCATTTTTAAGTGTTTGGTTCAGTGGCATTAAGTACATTGACATTATCATGCAGCCATCACCACCATCCATCTCCAGAACCCTTTTCATCTTGTAAAACTGAAACCCTATACCTAGTCAACAGTAATTCCCCATTCTTCCTTCAACTTAGCCCCTGGCAACCACCATTCTACTTTCTGTCTTTATGATTCTGACAACTTTAAGTACCTCATATAATTGGAATCATGCACTATTTGTCCTTTTGTGACTGCCTTATTTCACTTAGCATATCTTCAAAGTTCATCCATGTTGTAGCATATTGTAGAATTTCCTTCCTTTTTAAGGCTGAATAATATGCCACTGTATGTATATACTGCCACCTTGATGATTTTTTATAGGAAATACACCATCGTCTCCCATCAGAATCCCATCGTAGAAGATTTTCAAACTACAAATGCCAACTGAAAACTTCTAAAATGAACATGCGTGATGAGAACTGGAGGCTGAGCACTGACAGAGAAAAACTCGGAGCGGAGTGTTTGAATACATGAATGGGGTGCTTCTCTTTATCAAAATCCTAAAAATCTCCCATGTATTATGTAACATACCCACTCAAGCAAATTATCTTCAAAATCTGTAGCATCCATGAATTTTTAAAGCCATCACTCATTATAATTTTCACTTTGATAATGAAGTTCACATACCTGTGTAGCTTCCCTTAAATTTCACGTGTTTAAGCACAGGAAGTTTCAGTATTTCTTTTGACAACAAAGTCTTAATAAAAATCTAAACTGCTGCATCTAGTCAGTTACTTTTGGATACTTTCCAACAAACATCCAGGAAAGCTTGCTAAATGAACAAACACATGAATGGAAAAAATAAAGCAAGTAATAAAAAAATGAAAGAAAAGAGAGAACAATCTTCCCTCCCATGGCCCCAAAGCACTGACTGATCAAGCTCTTTACAGAGAATTGAAAATCATAAAAGGTTTCACAGAGAAAGGTCTTGAGGTGCCAATTACCAGACAACTAAGACTCTGACAGATCTTATTTACATCATACTCAAAGCCTGAGATGCAGGGAAATGCCTGATGCACATGGACTTTGGGCCCCAGACAGAAACAACTGTAGGTTGCTACAACCTGCCTAGAGTACACTGGACTTGGGAAGCCATGTGTCTGGCCGAGCCCACCCGGAGTCAGTCACTGGCCAGCGCCCCGCTGTGCTGCACCATGCCAAGGAGGCTACTGCAGTATGCCTCAGACAGCAAGCTCAAGATGGCTGAGGAGAGAGAAGTCAAGAATTGAGCTTGGAAACAAAGGTCAGGGAAAAGATGTCTTAGAGAGACTAAAGGAGGAGAAACGTGAAAGACTACTTTCTACTTCTTAACCTAGAAGGCTGGGTTTTTTTATACACAGGGAAGTTGGGAAAAGAATGATGTTAGGACATTTTAGAGATATTAAGATTAAAGTGAAATAGGTATAAATTGAAAAAACATGAAATAAAGAGCTATGTATGGTTAGAAAACAGGCATTTTTGAGCAGCAATTCTGGAAGGGAAGAAGGGTTAAGCCAACAGGAGCTGGTGAGCCCTCTGGGGCAGTTTTCCAACTGGCCGAAAACACCGGAGAGGGGCAGCATGGAGACTCACCGCAGAGCTTACCAAACAGGCAGAACTGAGGCTGTGGGAAGGCACCACGTGAAAGCGAAAGGACAGGCAAAGACCAAAGAAACGATTCTATGAAAAATGAGAGAACGGGGATGCTAGAGTTAGAGCTAACAACCAGGACAGCAATATGGACAGGGCTGAACCCAAGCACATCAAGAGAAAGATAATTTCAACGAAGCGGAAAAACAGCCTTGTCTCTGAATGCAGATGAAGTGTGAGCAGATCGGAGAAAGAAGATTCACAAGGGGGAAACAGCAGGTAAATAAACTCAGTCTTCTTGGAAATGAGGACTAGTGACCACCATCTGCCAGGATTCTAGCCCCTGACAGGTCATCTGGAAACTGCCTGCAACACCTCCTGTCTGATCCTCACCTGGATGGGTCTCCTGGTGGATCCCTCTCTCTGCCAGCCACGGCTCTTGCCCTTTCTCCAACCGGAGGATCACATCTGGCTTGGGAAGCTGATGCCCTGTTCACAGGGAGAGATCAAGAATTCGGCAAAGGTTGGGGAATCTGGGCTGGACACAAAAAAACACCCCAGTTGAACCCTTCATAGTCCTGGGGGCACTCTGCACAGTAGACAAGGTGAGGCTCCAGAGGCAGCAAAATATGCATTTTTAAAAATCTGACCAATCAAAATAATTTTTTGCACTAAAGCAGAAGGAGTACAAAAACACTGATCTATGCCTTAAAGAAATTAGGTCCCTGACCCCAAGGTCACACTCTGATATATGCTTCAGGGTTTCCATACCTTTCAATCAACGAAGAACCAAAATCGTCCCAGGGAGTACATCTCCACACACAGAGGTTAGTCTTACCCAAGGAAACCAGGTTCTCATAGTTCTCCAGCATCACATCTTTGTACATGATCTGCTGAGCAGCGTTCAGTAGCTTCCACTCCTCCCTGTTGAAGTTCACAAGTATATCCTTGAAGGTCACCAGTGTCTACAACATGAAAAAAACCTATATTAAGCCAGATGTATCTCCTTGCCCTCCCTTTCCTAAACACTGACAGAGAGAGAGATTAGGTGGATAGCACTGGAGTAGGGAAAGAGGATGGAGCAGAATCATGCTAGGAGCATTTAGCATTTATTTTGGATTTGGGTTAATTCCTAAAAGGAATGGCTATCAGGTACAGGTACCTACTGTACAAAAACCAGTTCCATGTTATGCTTTAGGTTTAGAAACTGTCAGAAGCACTTTTTTCCCCCCTAAGGAAGATTAGCCCTGAGCTAACATCTGTGCCAATCTTCCTCTATTTTTCGTATGTGGGATGCCTCCACAGCGTGGTTGCTGAGTGGAGAAGGTCTGCGCCTCAGATCCAAACCTGCGAACCTGGGCCACTGAAGCGGAACGCGTGGAATTTTAACCACTTGTCCACAGGGCCAGCCCTACAAGCACTTTTATTTAACTCAAGTTTGTTATAAACAGTTATAGCAAGGAAAATCAGACACCAAAAGTCAATCTACATTTCTATTACGTGAAATAAAAAACCTAATTCAACGCATGAAAAGAGGAGAAAACAGTCTTGAGTTCAAGAACAACCTAATACTTAAGAGACCAAGCTAGCCATGTTTGTGGCCAAAATAATTATCCAAAACATTCTTCCTAAACATTGGTAGGCATCAAGAAAACGGAGAAGAGATTTTATTTTAATAACAGCAAAACAATTTCACAAAGAATAGATACAGAAGCAAGGCCTTTAGCCATATCAAAAAGAAATATTAATTACACATAGAAAAAAAAAAAACTTGAACAACTGAGGATTTCTCATCAAAGACCATGAAGGTCAAAACACAGCGAATGCTTTTTAAGAAAACAAAAAGAACTGAAAGAAAAGAACTGTCAAGCCAGAATTTCTATATAAAGTGAAAATATCTTTGAGGAATTATACAAAATACATTCTTAAATGAAGTAAAGTTAACAGAACTGGTTACTAGCAGAGCCGTTCTAGAAGACGTGCTAAAGGTAGCTCTTGAGGTAGACGGGAAATGATGCCAGAGAGAAACTTTAAATCTCTGGAGTGAAGGATGAGCAACAAAAACAGCAATATTTGGGTAAATAGACCAATTCTATTAAATCCTCCAAAATATGTAGGACAATTGAAAGCACAAACTACAACACGTTCTGGTGGGGTTTTCAGTACAAGCAGAGGTGACATGCGAGGGACCCTCCAGGGGAAGCAGCTGAAGGAGGTGTGAGGAGCCCAGTCTCCACCTGGACGCTCCCAGGTCATGCTGGTCCCAGAGGTTCCCTTCTCAGCCGAGACCTTCCTGCTGTGGCTGCAGCTGCCCCTCGATAATGACGTAAGTTGTCCCTGAGCTCCTTCAAAGAGCACGCCTCATGGAGGAATTAACACAGCCTGCACCACAGCCAGGACAACTGGGACCAGAGAAACCCTCCAGGGGCACCAGCACTCCCAGTTCTCACACCATCCTTGGGGGAGGAAGCCCGCTGTGAGCTCAATTCCGTAGCGTGGATGCAAGAGTATTCCATCAGAGTCCTTCTAGCGCCTGACTTGACTCCCACCCATGTTACTGTTAAACTTGTGTTTCTTTTATATGAAAGGAAATAAACCTACAACTACAAATAAAGAAACAGGACAGTGCTGGTCTCCTGGAGAAGTGTATCCTGAGTTACAATTTCTGAAGTTCCTACGCAAAAGAACTTCAGAGCTTAAGCAATAAGGGATTCTCAGTTGGAAAACAAAGAAAAAAGAAGGAAGCCCAACTTACGTGGGACTGGGCAGTGGGTAACTCGGCTTCCATGCCCTCCTTGCTCTCAGTAACACTTTCTTGTTAATGCAAGATCCTGGGAAGGCAAGCTGAGGAGAAGAAAGAAATGTGAGGACAGTTTGCTGCGACTCAGAGGTGCCATAAATCATGAGCTTAGACCGCCTCGCACCAGCGGGGTATGACACGAACACCCACAGCACAGAGAGGAGTATCAGATGTTCCAAAAACACATCTACAGTGCCTGAAATTCCCAGCAGTAGGAAGACAAGAGCTAGATAGACTGCATTTCCCCCTTAATCTCTAGAGTTTCATGCTAAATTTCATTTGGAATCAAAATGAATACAAATCCTTTTCTGAGGAAAACAAAAACCACAAAACCTGACCCAATATAACAGTCTCAATTTACAAATAAGAAAACAAGTGTTTTCTCCAGCTAATCACAGAAGGGAAGTCAGAAATTTGAAGCACAAGAAAAATGTGATGTGCCACTACTGGCCTGAAGGTGGAAGGTGCCATGTGGCAAGGAACATGGGCAGTCGGTGAGAGCTAAGAGCAGCACCCAGCCGACAGCCAGCAAGGAGACGGGGCCCAGGGGCCTATCGCCACAGGAACCGACTTCTGCCAACAGTTAGAGTGAGCTTGGAAGTGGACTCTCCCTGGAACCTCCAGGTGAGAAGTTGGGCCAGCCAACACCTTGCCATCAGCTGCTGGGTATCTGAGCAGAAAACCCAGCCACACTGTGTCAGACTTCCACCCTCAGAACTGGCAGCTAACAAGTGGTGCTGTTTGAAGCTGCTAAGTTTGTGGTAACTTGCTACTCAGTAACAGAAAACTAACACATGGGCAATTATCTTTTAAAGATATTTAAATGTTAAGGACAAATGCTCTATATTTACCTATGTAGTTACCGTTGCCAATGCTTTTGGTAGATTCAAATTTCCAATTGGTTTCATTTCCCTTCCCCCTGAAGGATATCTTCTAACATTTCTTGTACTATGGTAATAATTCTGCTGGTAACAGATTGTTTCAGCTTTTTTATGTCAGACAGTGTCTTTATTTTGCCTTTGTTTGTTTAAGTTTTATTGAGATATAACTCACCATACAATTAACCTAAAGTGTACAATTCGATGGTTTTTGGTATATTACATTATTAATCTTTAAATTTCGGTAAAAATATATGTAAGAAAATTTACCATTTTAACCAATGCTAAGTGTACATTTCCATGGCATTAATTACATTCAAAATGTTGTGCAACCATCAATACTAACTTCAAAACTTTTTCATCACCCTAAACAGAAACACTCAAATAAGCAATAACTTCCTATTCCTCCCTCCCCTCAAACTCTGATAACCTGTAATTTAATTTCTATCTCTACAAATTTGACTGTGCTAGATATTTCATATAAGTGGAATCATATAATATTTGTTCTTTTCTGTCTAGCTTATTCCATTTAGCATGTTTTCAAGGTTCATCCACGTTGTAGTGTGTATCAGAACTTCATTACTTTTAATGGCTGAATAATATTCCATTGTACAGCTAGACCACATCTTGTTTAACCATTCATCTGTTGATGAACATGTGGGCTGTTTCCACCTATTGGCTGCTGTAAATAATGCTGCAATGAACACTGGCACACAAATATCTGCTCCAGTCCCTGTGTTCAATTCCCTTGGGTACCCAACAAGGAAATTGCCGAGTCATATGGCAAGTTTATGTTTAGCGTTTTGAGGACCCACTAAACTGTTTTCCACAGCAGCTGCCGCATTTTACATTCACACCAGCAATATACAAGGGTTGCAGTTTCCCCTTGTGCTTGCCAACACTGGTTATTCCATTTTTTAAATTATTACAGCAATCCTAGTAGGTGTGAAGTGATATTTGATTATGGTTTTAATTTGCATTATTTTCATGCGCTTATTGGACATTTGTATGTCTTTGGAGAAATGTCTGTTCAAGTCCTTTGCCGATTTTTTTTTTTAAGATTTTATTTTTTTCCTTTTTCTCCCCAAAGGCCCCGGGTACATAGTTGTATATTCTTCATTGTGGGTCCTTCTAGTTGTGGTATGTGGGACGCTGCCTCAGCATGGTTTGATGAACAGTGCCATGTCCGCGCCCAGGATTCGAACCAACGAAACACTGGGCCACCTGCAGCAGAGCGCGCGAACTTAACCACTCGGCCACAGGGCCAGCCCCCCTTTGCCGATTTTTAAATTGGGTCATTTGTCTTTTTGTTGTTGAGCTGTAGTTCTTTACATATTCTGGATATTAAACCCTTATCAGCTATACGATTTCCTAATATTTCCCCCATTCCGTAGGTTGTCTTACCTTTGTTGTTGAAAGATATTTTTGCTGACTATAGAATTCTAAGTAGACATTTTTCCTTTTAGTGTTTTATATATAGATTTAGCTCCCCTCCCAATGATCTGGGAATTAGAAGCGTTTTCCAGTCTGGCTAGCAGTAACAAGGAATATTCCCCATGTGAACGTCAAATACAATTCCCTCCATCCTTAGACGATTCTTTCCCTGGCCTTGGGTGGTTCCGTCACACACATGCTGAGCTACACTGATGACTGGAGGGAGACCCTCTGCAGACCTCTCCTCTTGGTACTCTGTCCCGTGAAGTGCAGCTGCTCTGCCCTCCCAGAGTCTCAGCTGCAGATCCTTGACTCAAGCAGTCTGCCGGACTTCACCTCAGTGTCCCCTCTGCTGTTTCCTAACCTGGAAACTCTCTCGAAGCAATAACCTGGGGCAACCACAGGGCTTACCTCGTTGGTTCTCCATCTCTCAGGGATGACTGGCCTTTGTGGTCTGACATGCAGCGTCTTGAAATGATTGGTTCATGTATTTTGTCTGTCTTTTTGTTGTTGATGTTGTTTGGGCAAGAGGCTAAATCCACTCCCTATTACTGCATTTTGGCCAGAAGCAGAAGTCTATAAGCATTGCACTTTTAATTTGTTTTAAATTTAGATAGTATTTTTAATTTCCACTTTTTAAATACTGGGTTTGAATATTTCCCATGTTTCTATTTATAGTTCTTTTGTATTTTGTTTTGTTTTCTTTCATATTGTTTGCCCCTTTTGTCTTCTGGAGATCTTAAGGATTTCCACTTCAATTCTAGGCACGCTTACATAAATAAAAGTACCGTAGCTTCTGGCTACCACACTGAAACGGTTCTCACCAGCCACATCTATTAGAGAGGGCATTGCTGGCCTCTCAACTGCTCTCGGATGCTCTTTATTTACTTTGCTTCCATCCTTACCTGGTTTTCCTCTGTATATCTTGGTACTTCTTAGTTTTCTCTAATGATTTAAAAAATTATGATTAGTTTAAATGTAGGTTTCCCTTTGTTGCATCCTCAGTCTCAGTCTCCATTTTCAGTGGCCCCCGGGCACTTCCAGGACACAGAGCATATCTATTTACTTTATCCCCACCGTCTGCCTATCCCATGGCACCATGGCATGACACAACAGGGCTAAGAGTTTTGGCTAGAATTAATAGACCACTGTCTTCTATCCCCCTCTCTTTCCCTAAATTCAAGTGCATATTTCCACCCGTGGTTAACAGGACGGATTCTGCCGCCAGACTGCCTGGGTTCAAGCCCCTGCTCCGTTACTTCCTAGGCGGTTTCCTAGCCTCTCAGTATCTCAGTCTCTTCTTCTTTACAATGGGGATAAAACAGCGCCCACCTCATAGGGTTATCACAAGAATTAAATGAGTCAATATTTGTAAAGCACACGCAACAGTGCCTGACACCTGGTAAGGATTATTTGTTAATTTAAAAAATAAATGACATCTAGGGACCCAGTAACATGTCCTCTTAACATCTAATCATTTACCACAACCTGGAAATGTCTCTCCCATCCATCTCTTCCTCTAGATTCCTACTGCCACGGCCTCGGTTTTGGCCCTCACTGCCTTTGATCTCTCCTACTCCAGTGAGTGGCCACATCAGTGTCATTTCTATAAAACACAAAAGTTTCACTCCTTGATTAAAATTCTGTTGGTCTCACAGTACTTACAGGAACATGGACCAAGTCCTCAGCATGGATTTAGGATCCTTTTCTACCTCACTCGTCCTAAATGTTCCATCAAACTACCACACTTTTCCCTAGAACCAGGCTAAACCACTTGAACTGCCCTAACATGTTTCCATATGCTATTCCTATGCCAGGAATGCTCTTCCCTTTCTTGCCTCTTAGCAAAACTCTATCCACCCTCAAGATCAAACATCATCCCTTTTGGTGTCATTCCCGGGACAAATTCCCCAGGAAGTTTTAGTGTTTCTTCCTGTTTACTCCCACTGTCCCTAATGCAAGCAACACGGACTAAACAAAAGTGCAGCGAGAGACTCACCGCTAGCTGACCAAGGGGTCATGTCCACACGGAGTGAGGTCTCCAATACCAGGCACTTCCTTAGCGCTTTGCAACCCTTTCCCCAGCAACATGAGTAAGGATCAGTTATAAACTGTACCTGACAAAGGCAGTGAACATACTAGATATGGGAATTAAGATACAGATGTGGATGCTATATGTACTTTGTATGGATATTATTAGAAAAACACGAGATTTATTTTAAAGAGTAAGGATGCCATAGTTAGCAGGATAGAAAGGTGGAATGAGTGCACATGGTTCCTGTATTCATTGTTTTTTGCACCAGACATTAACTGAGTGTTTACAATATGCCAAGTCTTATTCTAGGGGCCGAGAATACAGCAGTGGCTGTTCAGATAAGCCCTGCCCTCACGGAGCTTACTTTTCAATGTCAGATGAGTAAAGGTTGAAATAAGCAGGGATGTTTAGCCTGTGCAAGAAATTACTTAAGGGCCAGCCCCATGGCCAAGTGGTTAAGTTCATGCACTCTGCTTTGGTGGCCCAGGGCTTCGCCAGTTTGGATCCTGGGCACAGACATGGCACTGCTTGTCAGGTCATACTGAGGTAGCGTCCTACATGCCACAACTAGAAGGACTCACAAGTAAAACATACAACTATGTACTGGGGGGATTTGGGGAGAAAAAGCAAAAAAAAAAAAAAAAGAAGATTGGCAACAGTTGTTAGCTCGGGTGCCAATCTTTAAAAAAAAAAAATTACTTGAGAGAAACAAGAGAATGGTCTTCACACATGTACAAGTCCTGTAGAACAGGGATAATATTTATTCTGAGTTGTTCCAGAGGGCAGAATTAGGAGAAATGGTAGAGTCACAAAGAAATTAATTACAAGTCAATATAATAAGACAATGTTAATCAAATGACATCCACACATAGAACAGGCTGCCTAAGGAGGCAGGCAATTTCTGATCACTAATAAATTTTCAATAGGATCTTATTAAAAAAAAAAAAAACTATAGTACAGTTGCCAGTTTACACGGATATCTAAGGTCCGTTCCAACGACTTTCCTGTTTCATGATTTAAAATACAAATAGCTTGCAATTAGTCTCACTTCATCCTAACTTCCCTTAACCTCCACTTCTAGGTAACTTACTCAAACCTTTATCTAAACCAGTGGTTTTCAAACCTGACTGCATACTGGAATTGCCAGGTAGATTTATAAATTATTGAGACCTGGGTCCCATGCCACCCTTCCCCACTAGGAGATTCTGGTTTAACTGTCTGGGCCGGGGCCAGGCTTTTTTTTAAATAGCTCCCTAGGTGATTCTAATGTGCAGCCAAGGTTGAGAACCACTGATCTAAGCCATTATTTAATCTATTTAATTGTCAATTTCTACAATTTCTGGGGGTAATCAGATCTTTTAATCAGTCACCAGATACACACAGGATCTTTTTATGCAACTGGCCAAAAGTGACTTCTCTAAAGCAAAAGCAGTCATTTCCAGGGCAGGGATCCTGAGATGAGTTTTATTTCTTCTTAAGGAAACAGCTGGTAAGTTGTAACTTGATGGTAACTATCTTGATGTTATAGATCTGGATCTTCTGTTGTTTTAATAAATCGTTACTGAACACTTACTGTGTGCCTGGCTCTGTACTAGGCCCAGGGGGTAAAAACGTGAACAGAGTATTTCTCCCTGTCCTCAAGCAGCTGAGTCTAGTTGGAGAAACTGAAAATGGACACCTACTGTGCAGGATGACTGCTGCTATGATAACAGCACGCCCAAGGGGTCGTGGAGCACAGAAGATGGCCCGCACCCCAACCTGGTGGTTTCAAGGCTAGTCCAGTCCAGAGCTGGTTAGGCAGCTATGGAGGGTGGGCAACCGTGTGAACAAAGGCCAACCCCAAGACAACGGTGTGTAGGGAGAGAAAGCTCAGTGCAGCTGGTGCATATGGTCAACGGCAGGCAGCAGCCAGAAAGGAGGCCAGAGGCATGCCTAGGTCACAGAGGGCCCAGAATGCCATTCTCAGAAATGCTGACTTTTTCCTACATCTAAGCCAGGGAACGATCCTAGATTTGCATCTTAAAAATGCCTTCTCTGCATTTGGGGTAGTTGTGTGATGGACCAGGCGAAGACATAACAGCAGCAAAGAGACCAGGCAGGAGGCTAACACTGTAATCCAGAAGACGGCACACAAAACAGAATCGGTGAGGGTAGGAATGGAGAGCAGGTACCTTCTGGAGAGATTGCTATGTCCTAGAACTCGACTGGATGTGGTGTGAAGACGGCACGAGGGGTAAAGATGACTCCCAAGTTTCTGGATGACTGAATAAACAATAATGTATCAGTTGGAGCAGGTACTAGAGGGGTGATGCGGTTAGTTTTGAACATGAGAGGGTCAGAGAAGGGACATTTGGAAGCACATATTTAGATGTGAGGGTTATCCAGCTGTATCATCTGCCCTCTATATTTCTGTTTTATCTGTATCTCCCCAAACTGCTTGGCTATATTCTCAAACAGGACTTCTTGAGAAGCAGGAAATGGTCTTTTGTCACAGATTTGAGTGTGACTATGAGATACAGGTGACATACGCAGATGGATAGAGTAGTCTAAGGGAGACCACAGATTCCTGCCAACAATCCTAGGACACGGTTCCTGTAAAGCCCATTAAGAAACGGTAAGATTTAATAAAGCTGGCTGATAAAGGAGATAGACCCCAGGTTCTGGGGATTAGCACACAGTTCTCTTTGGGGAGCCACCGTTCTGCCGACCACCAGGGCAGAGATGGGCTGGAAGCAGCTTCAAGTAACAACAAGGAGGCTACGAAATTCACTATCTGAGGCACGAAAGCTTCCACAGCACAGCTCTGATTAGGTACTGAGTATACAGGCTCATGACCGTCTACATTCTGGGCCCCGACAACTTTCAATCTGAATTCCTACTGTACTTGCCCCATGTTCTCTAAGCTTCACTTAAATGCCACCTTTTCTGAGAAGCCTTCCTGTTGTCCCAGAGAATCAATGGCTCCCTGGCCAGTAATCATGGAGCATTTGCCCATGCTCTAGTGTTTCAACACACTGCCCTACCCCACCACTACTTAGCTGTCCACTTCCCTTAGAGATAATGAAACACTTGAGAAATGGGATAGTCTCAATTTAAATCCCAGAAAAAGGCCAGCATAGTGCCTTGTACTTCATATTCGTTTACACTGGCATTTGTCAAATATTTAATGAGCAACCACAATAACTTGTCTGTTTCCCCAGGTGTCTGCCCTCAGGTCTGTTTGAATACCCAGTCCCTGAGGGCCAGCGCTCAGAGATATGCAAGACCTTGTCAGGGATGGCGTTTCACTCGAGCATACGGAATATACACTTCTTAATATAAGAGAACAGGATCTCTTCAGTTTCTGAATCAATTCATCAGTATTTGGCATCTGCAAAGGGCAAGGAATGATCAGCAAAAGGACCCAGCAGCCACAGGGTGAGAACTCTGGGGCTAGCAGAGATAGCAGAGACATATTTAAAGACGCAAAAGGCAAAGATCACGCATCTGTGAAAACTCAGCAAATGTATGCTTTAATTTTGTGCATTTCATTTAATGTAAAATTCTACATCAAAAGAAAAAGCTAAATAAGCATTGAATTCTACTTAGTAATGCATATGGATTCTGCAGTATCTAGAAAAAGTATACTGATGTCTGCAATTAACTTTGAAATGCAATGAAAAAAGATGGACTGATGAAGTCTGCAAGACAGAGGGACAATTTTAATGAAACAAGAGAGGAGTAGATTAGTTAGGCTATAGAGAAAAGTCAGTGTAGTGTTGAGGTGGTTTAAAAAGGGGTAGAAGAGTTGCGTTATCTATCTCCCAGACAGACAGTTAACCGCAATCAACATTTCTAACCAGACTAACATTTGTTAGCTAGCATTCTGGATGACATCCTGTGTTCCCTTTTACTTTCTATTTTTTTTTTTTTAACAGTATATTCTGCTATTAAGGTATACATAGAACTGAAATTCTTCACTTTCTCCATACACTTTAGATGGGAACTACAGTTTTTATGTTAACCTTATCTTTGACATTGATACTACATGTTACATGATACACATCATTTTGATTAATGTCAAGGAAAAATAAAAATATATTAATTAAATTTTTGAGCTGTCTCTGAAAAATAAAACTAGATTAAACGTATACACATCTCCACTTAATCTATTTGATAAAAAACACACACACACACACAACACTGAAGATCAGGAAGCTAGGAGCTAGAGATGTATAGCTTTTTTAAAAGACCACACACAAACCTGCTTGATCTTAAACACTGAAAATACTGATAAGATGCAATTTTGAGGAAAACCGCCAAAATAACTTTAATAGGAAGTAAAAAGCTTTCTTAAAAAATGAGTATCTTGAGACTACACCAAGAACTAGAAATCCATCCAGTCCTTTTGGCCATTGAACTTATTAAAGTAGACCTAGCTCATCACTGGTTCTAGCATACAACCTCTACAGTATCCACGAACAGAATCCAGTAGTATATATTTTTTAAAAACAGTATAATAACCACGTTAGATTTCTCCTAGGAACGTCAGACTTTTACTGCTAAGAAATTTCCTACTCTAATAAAAAAGAGCATGATCACTTCAGCAGAGAAGCCATATGCAAAATTTTAAACATCTAGTCCCAGTTGCGGGGGGGGGGGGGGGAAAAAAGTAAGCAGGTGTCAACCAAAACGTGCAGCTTCACGAGGCAAAGGTAAAGTTTTAAAGAAAAGAGAGACTTTATTAAAAAGGTTTGCAAGTCGGGGAGGGACATCTCCCCTCGCAACCTGACGGTGAGGCCGCCTCCGTCGGGGGTGGCGTCGGGGGTGGCGGGGCTGAAGGGCACGGAGCGCCGCGGCCCGAGGCCAGGTCTCCCCGGCAGCCCTTCCTCGCCCCGCCACCCCCAGGCCGTGCTGCGCTCCGGCAGGGGTCAAGGTCAAACGCAGTTTCCTTATTTCCGTCCAAAGCTCAGCCCTGAGGGGGTCATGGTAACCGTCGCGTGGACTATGGCCTCGTTATCTCTTTCTCTTACCAAAAGAATAGAAGAAATCTTATTTTGCATCACCGAAAATATCTGGTCCAAAATCTCCCCCGCACCTTCAGACACTAGGGCATTGTCATCTTTCTCCGCAAGCGGGGCCGTCCGCTAGGAACGCTGCGACCTGAATTCAAGAAGTACCGCGCAAGGGCTAAAAATCACAGTTAGGAACAAAAATTATTTGTTGATGAAATCACTGTCTACCTAGAACGACAAGGCTACGCAACCGCAACATTACTAACAGGATCAAGACGCGTCTGACTACGAAGCAAAGACACAACACCCAGCACCTTCGTCTGTACCTGCAGTAAGCACCTAGAAGGTTCGATGGGGGAAGCAGTCCTTCACAATGGCAGCACCAACCGCAAATCAATGACGAGCCGTGCCTCCGGGACAGGTGGCTGGGCACACAGGCTGGGCGGCCCGGACCGCTCGGAGCCCACTCCCGGCCCTGCCCGCCGCCACCCCCTCGCACGCGCCGCGTTCGACCCCACGCGCTCGCGCGTCCTCCGCGTCCCCGCCCCCTCACGCACGCGTCCCGGCACCGACACGCGCACGCACGTCTCGAGCCCCTCCGCTGAGAATCGCAGCAGGGACGCGAAATCCAGAATCCCTCCGCGGGGCGAAGCGAGGCGGCGCAGGTGCTGCTGGGAAATGTAGTCCCGCCGCTCGAGTCGGAGTGGCTACAGAGCTCGCGGCTTCGGGGCCTTGGGCGCCGCCGCCCGCCCCGGCGCGCTCTTTTCCCTTCTCGCGGCGGCCCGGGAGCTTCGAGGCCGAGAAGCAGGTACCCGAGGACAGGGCGGCGCGTGGGGCGCGTGGCGGGGGAGGACACGTGGCGGGGAGGGCGGTGGGCGGCCCAGCCCTCACGCCGACCGGCGGTGATGGCGGGCAGAGGGGCGGCCGTGCGAGCGGCGGCGGCCCGGGACAGGCCCGAAGGCCGAGGCGGGTCCCGGAGGCGGCGGCTCCGCGGAGCCCGGCGAGTGCCCTCTGCCCCGCGGGAGCGGCCGCAGCGGGGCAGGGAGCAGGCGCCCGGACGAGCCCTCCGCTGTGGCCTGCGCCTGTCTGGAGGGCTGGGGCGGGGGCTGCGCCGCGGGCTGAGGCGCCGCCTCGCTGAGGCAACCGGAGTTTAGAGACTTGTATGCACCTTCTTTGGATCACGAGTTAAAGAAACTGCTGTGTTTGTTTGTTTTTTTTTTTTTATGAAACAAAACACTTAGGAGGGGCTGGTCCCGCGGCCCAGTGGTTACAGTGCCGCTCGCTCCACTTCGGGGGCGGGGCTCGCCGGTTCGGATCCCGGGCGCGGACCTGCGGCGCTCGGCTGCCGTGCCCTGGCGGCGTCCCACGTGTAAAGCGAGGGAGATTGGCACAAGTGTTGGCTCAGGGCCAGTCTTCTTCAGCCAAAAGAAAAATGAGATAGAAAAATTTGGACACTGCCTGAATATTTGATATTAAGGAATTACTGCTAATTTTGTTGGTGTGTTGATATTCTGGTTATGATTTTTGAAGAGTTCTTATTCACATGTAAATTTTGAAATATTTACAATATCATTCCTAGATATGCTTCAGAATAGTGATGGGTACAAGAGTGTTCATTACACTATTAACGTCAGAATAACAGCAATAGTTTTTTTGCTTTCAACCATTCTTGCATTCCTGGTTAAACCTTGCTTGAATGTGATATTATTACTTTAATGTACTGCTGTATTCAATTTACTAGTGTTTTCCTTAGGGATTTTTCAGTGTTCTGAATTAAGATTGCACTTTAATCTTTTTCCTTTGTACTCTCCTTGCAGCACCATTCTTTGTGATATACTGAGAAGATTTTACAAGTGTCACAAATAATATGGGAGGCACAGATTTTTTTTCTATATCCTATTCTGCAAAATAGTTTTTCACTTGAATGTTTTGGCCTTAAAATCTTTAGGAGTAGATATTTGACTTCTGATTCAACTTTTTTAATGGTAGTTGATTGATTTAGGTTCTGTAGCTTTTACTGAGTCAATTGTGGACACATTTTTCTAGAAAATTGTTAATCTTATCTGAATTTTCAAGTTTGTTGGCATAAAATTGTTCACACTATTCTGGTATAGTAATTTTTTGCTGACTTTTTAAATCACTGCTTTTTCGTGATGTTTTAAAATTGCTGTCATGATTGTAGCTATTTTTCCTTTTTTGGGTCTTTTATCTAGGCCACCGTCTCTTTTTTCTTTATTAGTCTTACTACATATGCATCTACAGTAATCTTTTCAAAGAAGCAGGTTTGGATTGTTTTTGTGATCTGTATTTTGCTTTTGTCTTATCTCTTTGTATTTTGGTTTTCTGTTAGAGTAACTTTTGCTCTCTATTTTTAAATTTTCTTTTACTTTGTTGCTGTTTTTCTATTTCTTGATTTGATTGCTTAGTTCATTTATTTTTTCTGTAGTTTATTCATGTCACCGAGCAAGGGCTCGCCTCCTGATGTGCACAGAAGCTGACACCAGTCTTTGAAAGAAGGACTTTATTGCACAGTCCAGGCTCTCAAATCTGCTTCACCCGTCCAAGGTAAGGGGTGAGGCTGAAGGGAGCAGGGAGGGCAGGCTGGTATGCGGAAGCACTGGCAGGGTGAGGCTCGATTGGCAGATCAAAATTTTCTCTTCTGTGCACGCTCCTGGCTGGCTCGCTGGCCCTGAAAAATAACCTTAACATCCTGTCGTTAAAATGGGGTCAGTTATGGGAGCTTACCAGGAAAAGCACAGTAAGCAAGGATGAAGTTGTTAATGCAGATTTAAGTCATTGCTTTCTCCATTGATAAAAGTTTCTGGAGATTTATAGTCATCCTTCTCTTCCTGGCACAGAGAGGAAGGCACTTACAAATGGAGATTTCTCTTATGTAGATGTAGGTTTCCCTTACAAAAGGGTAAGTTCTACTAGGTGTTCAGAGCTTTTCCTGTGTCTGTTGTTTTTTAATATTCAACAGTTGAAAATAGCCATGTCCCACAAATAATCCATAATCAATCTATAAATCAAAATTGGGGTGAGTTTATTATGAACCAGGTTTGAGGACTGTAGCCCAGAGCCTGCCTTCCCCAGGAAGGAGGGGCACCAAAGAAGTAAGCTGTACAGAGTGGTTGTGTACTATCTGGCAATAAAGAGCGTACATCATGTACAATAGGAATGTCCCTTTCACAGTAGTCATGAGACTGCTTTGCTGGCACAGCAGGTCAGAGGTCACAAGGTGAGCACAGCAGGTCAGTAATTAATCTTTAGTTTTTAGGAAGAGATGCTCGTCCTTAAGGAATGCCGATATGGGCTAAGATACATCTTTATCTTTAAGGGCATCATTCTTGTCTTTGGACATCCTGAATGTTTAAAGCAGATGTACAGTGTGTGCTCCACAGGTCATGTCAGCTGTTCTGAAAAAACATGGTCAGGCTGAATTAGTTTTAAACCAGATCGCTTCCTCATATACTCCAATGTATCCTATCGTTTTTCATTTATTTATCAGCTATAGGGGAGGAAGACAATTCTTCTATCCTGTAAGTCCTTCTTCTTGGTCTAAGAATTAAATTGACATGAGACAGAATAACAGTAGAAAATTAAAAAAGTTTAATAACATATATACATGGGAGAGACCCGGGAAAACTGAGTAACTCGCCAAAATGGCCAAAGCCATCACCTTAAACACCATCTTCAGCTAAAGACAAGAGGATGCTGGTCGTTGTGGTTTAGGTCTTCAACGGGGAGGAAGACAGTTCACATGGAGAAAAGCAAATGTTTGCTGGGCCATGTATAGACAATGAGACCCGAAAGAGATCTTTTGATAAAATGGCCCTTGCTAGATGCCATCTTGTCTACTACAGTTAGAATTATCTGTGGTGATAACTCATTCAGAATAATCAAGCCAAAGAGACACATTTTGGGGAGGCAAATTCTGTTCCTGGTCCTATAGTTACACTTACTTTCCAAGAGATGGTATATACATTTTTGAAAGTCTAATTGTTAAAAGGCTCATAATAAAACAGGAGGCCCCTGGTTCTTCTCAGTGGCATCCACTTTCAAATTTTTAAGCAGTTCTAGCTTTGAATTGTCTTCAGTCTTTTAATTTAATTGTTTAATTTGAGACATTTTTCAATTTCTTATTGTGTTAAACAAGAATTTTGACTCTTACACTTTGCCTTCCTTCCTACATCCTTAAATCAAAATGTAATTATATTGCAAGTATTGTAATGTTTTCTCACAAATTTTGGTTAAATGCATGTTTAGTGTTTTTATTGTGATGACTATATAAATAGTGTTTACTGCTGAGCCATAAGAAGTTTCTTTCTTGTACAAATTTTACTTTTCTTGTTTTTAATGCCTTTTTTATTCATTTGCTTTGTCTTCCTTAAACCTATGTAAGATGCCTTTCTTCCATTTTATTCAAGGTCAAAGCTGTCATATAATCTTACCATTTCTCTCCTTTTTTTGAACACCTGTCTCCAGGAGCCTTCCATCTTCCTACAGTCTAGACGTTCTCTAGGTGCGCCACACACTGGTGTACTAGGTCTTCCTTTTATCCTCACCTCATCTCTGTGTTGGATCTCCTGTTTCCTGGAAACTTCTTTTTTGTTTTCTTGTGAGGAAGATGGTCCCTGAGCTAACATCTGGGCCAGTCTTCCTCTATTTTGTACGTGGGGTGCTGGCACAGCAGGGCTTGAGTGGTGTAAGTCTGCGCCTGGGATCCGAACCTGTGAACCCCAGGTCCCCAAAGCAGAGCACGTGAACTTAACCACTATGCCACTGAGCTGGCCTCTGGAAATTTGTTTTTGTTCCCTTTTTAGTGGATTATAATCTTATTACTTTCCTGAAAAAGGGTCTGTATGAGTTACATAGATGAAGGTTGTGTATGAGTAGAAATTATTTTGTCTTCATATTTGACTGGTATTTTGGCCCAGTATAGAAGTCCTGGATAGGAAATTATTTTCCCTCAGAAAGCTGGCAAAGCTAGATAGAAATTGGAGCAGTGTTACTGTTGATAAGTCCTATTCTGTGCCTGTTACTATTCTTTTGTATATAAACAATTTATCATCTCTTGGAACATTTAGGTTTATCAGTTTATCTTTGGTATTCAAAAATTTTATGGTGATATATTTAGTTCCAATCTTTTAAAGAAATTACCCATTTTGATAGATCAGTCCTTAGATACTCTGTTATTTTTAGGAATTTTTCCCATATTTATTTGATTCTTGCTTCCTCCCATTTTCTCTTTCTTTCTGGAACTCTGAATAATCTAGTGTGGGACCTTTGAAATTGATCATATAACTTTCTTACCTTTGCGCTCTCATTCCTTTATTTGGATGGAGGGGGTCTGCTTTCTGGAAGAGTTCCTCAACTGTAAGCCTTTTTACCTATTTTAGCTTTTTGTTATATTAATGTTAAATTTCATGAGGCCTCTTATAGTGTGATTTGACTTAAAAAAATCCTATAACATCCTACTTATGTTTTGCAAATGAAATACTTCTCTGATGATTTTTAAATTTTTATCATGAAATTTCATAACATAGAAAAGCGAAATAGTGTTCATCACTGTATTTTGAAGCAGATCTTGGACATGATGTATTACTTGTAAATGTTTCAGAATTTGTCTCTGAATGATAAGGACTCCTTTAAAAATCATAACCAGGACATTATTATCACACCTACAAAATTAGCAATAATTTCTTAATATCAAATATCTAGGCAGTATTCAAAGTTTCCATTTCCTAAATGCTTATTTTTTTTTTAACAATTTCTTTGACTCATGGTCCAAATAAGGTTCATGCAATTTTAATTCTCTTTTAATTTAAAGTGTGCCTTACAGAAATTATATCTCAATGTTGTTTCAAGTGTGTTTGTCTTATTATGAGCATCTTTCAGGATGCTGTTGTTGCTTTGAAATACGTCAGTGTCTTTTATATTGCTCTCACTCTTTAGCACACTATTAAATTCTACGTTGATATTGTTTTCCTTTAGTACTTTAAAAATATTGTGTGGTCTTTTGATGTCTACTTTTGCAGCTGAGAAGTCTGTAGTCAGTATGATTGGTATTCCTTTGTAGGTAGTTTGCTTTTTTTTTCCCAGTAACTTTAAAATTTTACTCATTATCTGTGACATTCTACAGTTTATGTTCAGTGTATCTGGTGGATTTTAAAAATCTATTCAGGGCCAGCCCCGTGGCCTAGTGGTTAAGTTCAGCACACTCCAATTCATTGGCCCGGGCTCAGTTCCCAGGCGTGGACCTATACCACTCATCAGCAGCCATGCTGTGGCAGCAGTCCACATACAAATAGAGGTAGATGGGCACAGATATTAATTCAGGGCGAATGTTCCTCAGCAAAAAAAAAAATCAGCATGGTTTGTGGTATATACATTTGAAGATCAAGGACTTATAGCTTTTTTTCAGCTTGGGGTAAAAACAACTATTATCTCTAGTATTGCTTTTTTTCTATTCCTTCTATCCTCCTCTGAAATTCCTATTAGATATTTATGTCTTTGATCCATCTGGGAAAGGGAATGTGTGAAGTAGGGTTTATGTTTTTCACAGACAGCTGTTTGTCCTGATACCATTTAACAACTAGTTCATCCTTTTCCCACTGATTTTAAATGCTGCCTTTATCATGTGCTAAATGTCTAGCTACACATGAATCTGTTTCTGAAGTTAGTCTGTTTTGTTTTCTATTATTGCCCCACTATCATTCTAAGTTGCCAGAGATTTATAATGGGTTTTGAAATAGAATAGGGCAAATCATTGTTTTAATAACTGCCTTGTTGTTCATATGCCTTCATTTTTCTATAAAACTTTTAAAATCACATTGTCATGTTTCAAGAAATCTCTATTGGATGTGTAAATTAATGAAATTGCCAATGCAATTCTAATTCGAGAAAATTTGAAATCTTTATTATGTTGAGTCTTCCCATCCATGAGCATGGTGGATCTCTCCATTTATTCAGATATCTTTTCCTGTTGTCTGGTAAAGTCTTTTAGTTTTTGTAATTAGTCCTGTAACTAGAAAGAAAACCTATGGGGAATGAAAGAATGATGCTATAATACAGTTCGTAGCTTAACAACTCTAACCAGAAAGCAAACTCATTTCCTTCTTTTGAAGAGGAAGTCTAACTTTCTGATTTTGTTTTCCTTCTGAAAGAAGCGTAGGGATGTGAAAAAGTAGCTCCTCCACAAAACCTTAATTGCCATAGATTCATTCAGTTTATTCAGTAAATATTTGTCGAGTGTCTCTCATGTGCTGAGGAATGTTCTAGGTACTCAGAATACAGCAATGAGCAAATCAGACAGAAATCTATTTCTATATTATTTATACTAAAGTGGCAGAATACAATCCGCCTGTCAAAGATCTTTGTCTAAATAAAAATCGTAGGGGCCAGCCCGGTGGCACAGTGGTTAAGTTTGAACATTCCGCTTCAGTGGCCCGGGGTTCGCTGGTTCAGATTCCAGGTGCGGACATGGCAGCGCGTGGCAAGCCATGTGTGGTAGGCGTCCCACATATAACGTAGAGGAGGATGGGCACGGATGTTAGCTCAGGGCCAGTCTTCCTCAGAAAAAAAGAGGAAGATTGGCAGATGTTAACTCAGGACTAATCTTCCTTGGAAATAAATAAATAAATAAAAATTGTATAATTTTGTCCATCAAAACTGAACTCTACTGAAGTATAATACTGAGGTAGAATGCTTGCATTTGAAGGTTATTTAATTTTCAAAAAGTGAGACTTGTAAAAACATTAGCATAATAAGTTATGCTATGATTTGTTGTAATCTTTAAAGTATGCAGGTATTCACCTTTTGTATCTACACTGAGTTGTTTAGCTATTTATATTAAAGCCATTGTAAAAATTATTCAGCCATAAAAAAATTGACATTTGGGGCCGGCCCTGTGGCCTAGTGGTTACATTTGCATGCTCTGCTTTGGCGGCCCAGGGTTTTACTAGTTCAGATCTTGGGCGCGGACATGGCACCACTCATTAGGTCATGTTGAGGCAGCATCCCACATGCCACAACTAGAGGGACCCACAACTAAAAATACACAACTATGTACTGGGGGGATTTGGGGAGAAAAAGCAAAAAAAAAAAATTGACGTCTAATATTGTTAATATGGCTAAAGCCTCACTCCCAAAGCTTGGAACGTAGTTCATGCTTCTTTGTTGATTCCTGTCCAGGTTTAGATGGAATAAGTTATCATAAGGAAATATAGACTTTGGGGAGAGAGATTAAATTGGAGGTAATCAAATGAACATTTGTTTCAAAGTCTCGTATCTACTTTTAATAACTCCAATAAAATTCCTCAGTAGGGTAGCAGCCAAATTATCAGCCCTAGTAATCATATGTGATGTTATTCAGGTAAACATGAAGTTACATATAGGACAAATAAATTTTCCTAAAACATTTGTGTTTAGCAGGAGAATTACTTTTCCATTCCAAAAAATTAACTTTAAAAGTTGAAAAATATTCATGAAATTTAATTAAACAACCATGCCTTTTTTGACTGGTTCTCATTAGCTTTTAATTTTTATTTTTTTAATAATGCATGCTCTTTCCACCGAGGGCTGAGAAGCAGTCTGCAGGAGAAGCCAATATAAATAACCAAGATGACAGTCTAGAAGGGGGCCAAGGGTGACTATATTGCATGTTAGTACAAATCCCAGTAAAGAGTTTAAACTGATCAGATGTTTCTGGGAGGTAAGTGAGAGGGCCTACAATTTTTTTTACCTTGCATCCAATGGGGCCCTGTTTCCACCTTTCTTCTTTTACCTGAACCTGCCTCTTTGGCTACAGGGAGGACACCCAGTGAAATGCATCCCAGCCCTGATTGGATCAGAGAAGCAAGAAAAGAAACATCCTGATCTCTCTACCCTATTGTGTGGGCAGCTGTTACTTTCAGACTCTCAAGATGACGGCCACTGACCTATCCCCCATATGGTCTCTGCCTGCACAGGACTCTGCCTGTTTCTGTGTGAGAAAATCTGAGGAGGAAAGGATGGGGGCTGGATTTCTGGCAACGTGGTTACAGGGACCAGTGACCTTTAAAGATGTGGCTGTGGAGTTCACCCAGGAGGAGTGGCTGATGCTCGACTCTGCTCAGAGAAGTATGTACAGAGATGTGATGTTGGAAAACTACATAAATCTCACTTCAGTGGAATATCAATTATGCAAGCCTACTGTGATCTCCCTGTTGGGTCAAGAAGAGATAAGAATTATAAAAAGGAGAATTCCCCAAGGCACCTATTCAGACTGGGAGATTCAACTTACAGCCAAAGAATCAACTCCTAAGCAGAATATTTTGGGGGACAAATTGTCCAATGGAGTGAAAATGATAAGATTCACAGTGGATGATTGGTCCTCTACATTCAGAGAAGACTGGCAATGCTGTAAGATCAGAAAACAGCACAAGATTCCAGAGGGACGTTTGAGGCAAGTGACATTTAGCCAAAAGAAAACAGCATCTCAGGAGAGACTCTGTGACTGTCATGAATTAGAGGAAAACTCTAAGCTTAGATCAAAACTTGTTTTTTCAAAGAGAGTTTCCACCAGTAAACATTGCCATAAATGTTACTTAGATATTGAGTGTTTAAAACATAATTTGATGCTAAACAATTATGAGAAAAACTCTGTAAGTGAGAAGCTCTGTGAAAGTTATGAATATGATAGTGCCCTGTGGCATCTTGAAAGAACTCAAACAGCACAAAAAGAGTCCACGTGCTCCAAACATGGTATACACTTCAAACATAATTTGCCTCCTCTATGTAACAATTTTCATGTGGTGGAGGATTCCTACACATGTAATAAAAACAAAACCTTTTGTCATCGTTCATCCTGTAAGCAACAGGAGCAGACTTCTACTAGAGAGAAACATGAATGTAATCAGTGTGGAAAAGCCTTCAAAAGGGTTTCTAATCTTATTTTGCACAAGAGAAATCACAAGAGTGAGAAACAATATGAATGTAAAGAATGTGGGAAAGTCTTCCATGATTCCTCAACCCTAAGGAGACATGCAAGAACTCACACTGGTGAGAAACCCTATGAATGTAACCAATGTGGAAAAGCTTTTAGTCAAAAAACGTCTCTTAAGGCTCATGTGAGAACTCACACTGGAGAGAAACCTTATGAATGTAATCATTGTGGGAAATCCTTTGGCACAAGTTCTTACCTTATAGTGCACAAGAGAATACACACTGGGGAGAAACTCCATGAGTGCAGTGACTGTGGAAAAGCCTTCTACACAAGCTCTCATCTTAAGGTCCACAGGAAAATACACACTGGGGAGAATCTTTATAAATGCAGTGACTATGGGAAAGGTTTTAGTGGTCGCTCATCCCTTAGAATGCATGTGCGAACTCTTTCTGCAGAGAAACATTATGAGTGCAATCAGTGTGGAAAAGCCTTTAAAAGGATTTCTTATCTTACTTTGCACAAGAGAAGTCACAAGGGTGAGAAACAATATGAATGCAAAGAATGTGGGAAGGTCGTCCATGATTCCTCAACCCTAAGGAGACATGTAAGAACTCACACTGGTGAGAAACCCTATGAATGTAACCAATGTGGAAAAGCTTTTAGTCAAAAAACGTCTCTTAAGGCTCATGTGAGAACTCACACTGGAGAGAAACCTTATGAGTGTAATCACTGTGGGAAATCCTTTGGCACAAGTTCTTACCTTATAGTGCACAAGAGAATACACACTGGGAAGAAACTCCATGAGTGCAGTGACTGTGGAAAAGCCTTCAACACAAGCTCTCAACTTAAAGCTCACAAGAAAATACACATCAGAGAGTCCCTACGAAGGCAGTGACTCTGGGAAAGTTTTTAGTGGTTGCTCATCCCTCATATGGGAGAGAAATCCTATGAATGTAACCGATGCAGAAAAACCTTCGTCAGAATTCCTCACTTACTACACACAAGAGAATTCTGACTGAGAGACAAACCCTGTAAGAGTTGGGAATGTAGAATTGCTTTTTGCATTGTCTTAAGGTGGGCTCCAAGCTCATCGTATCAGTCTTTGTTCTTTAAAATAAGCATTAAAGCTATAAATAGTCCTCTAAATACTCTCATAGCTACATAGCACAGTCAGCTCTGTTAATTTATCTTGTTTATTTCTAAATGTTGTCTAATTATTGATGTTTTTCATCCATCGCTATTTAGAATTGTCAGTTTTTAATGTGTGGGGTAAGATTTTCAGTTACCTTCTTATTATTGATTTCTAAGTTAATTGCATTATGTCCAGAGTATCTGGACTATACAGTAGTACTTTATTGGTATTGTCTTGAGAGTTACTTTCAGGCCTGGTGTGGCAGATATTGCTAGTAGCCAGTCGAACAGCCAGCTCATGCTTCCCTACTGACAACCGTCTTTTAGCTCACAGCACCAATGTGTCTAGTTATGTAACTCTTGTCAGCCTCCTTGCAGCCCAGTGTAGTCATACACCTCATTCTCCAGTAATCAAAAGTAGATCACTGGGAAGTGACTCAGCTGGTTTTTTCTCTGTGCCTTTTGCACTTTGCCTTTCTGCCTTCCCTATTCTCTCTTTGAATTTTCCATTCCTAGAACTGAAGGACCCATCTTGTGACCATGAGAATGATAACCGTGGCCTTAGCATGTTATAGAAGAAATAGATCCTGGTTCCCCAGAGACATCTTTAAATGGCTGTACCAGCACTGTACTGCTTACATCTGGATATCTTTTTATGTGAGAAAAATAAGCTTATTGACCTTTTTAAAAGCAGTGTATGAATACAGTCAATATAGTAACCTTGTCTAAGAAAAAGGAGAAGACCACAGAGGTATGTAGAGTTAAATGTTTTATGTTGGATGTACAAATTTGGATAGGAACATAGAAAAGGGAGGAATGTTGACAGAACTTTTTTGCTTAGGTTGGAGATGATGGAGCTGAGGTCACTGAAAACAGGTGATCAGAGAAGCAAGAAGGAAATCCCAACATTTCAGTATTAGAAACCAAGAGAGTTTTCAGTTAGAGGGGAAGTTACCAATTTTAAATGCTGAATGAAGCCCTTGAGATTTTGCTACTTGGTCTTACAGATGCTGACCAGGTTAGTTTTGTTAAAAAAGCAAAATATGGAAGGAGGAGCCTATGATGGAAGAAGAAGGTAGTAGTTGCAGTTTTAGCAATGTTAACTTTATACAGAATTCTGAGACATCCAGACGAACAGGCCGATAATGCAGTTCTGGACCTGAGGAGGTGTCTGGGATAAAGATACATATTTCAGCAACACCAGTAAGATAGGCTTTGTGGAGGTGACTGAGATTTCATAGGGAAAATGGATGAAAATGTGAAAAGAGAATGTCTACCACTGACCATGAAGACCGCCTATATTTAACAGTAGGATAAAACAAGGAACCTTAGTGGATAAGAGGAAAACCAGAAAGACTGGAGTTTTACCAAACCAAGACAAACGTGTTTCGAGAAGGAAGGTAAAGTCAGTTGTTTTAAATACTGTGTGAGGTCAAATTAGATGAAGTCTTGGAAAGTGAACACATCATTTAGCAATGTGAAGATTATTGTTGACCCTAGTTGGTGATAATGACATGTTGAGGTTGGGTGGTAGGTTGGTATGAGTTTAGGAATCAGTAAACCATGAAGAAGTAAAGACTGAATATAGATAAGTCTGAATAGTAGGAGAAAGATAGCATAGTAGCTGGAGAGTGATTTGGTCAAGGGAAAATATTTTTAAAACTATGAGGAACTAGAACATGTTTAAATTCTAATGTGATGTATCCGGTATGGAGAGGCTAAATATGCAGGCCTAGAAGAGGTACAGGCGATACCATAATGTTCTTGAGGAGGGGGTGGAGGTACCTGGAACACAGATAGAAGGGTTGATGTTTGCTATAAGAAGGGCTGCTTCCACCATTCAGAAGAAAAGGAGGAATGGACGGGTTAGTTTTAATTACCTGTTTCCTTATATGTAAGTTAATCGAGCTGTCCCCAGAGCATCTGATCCATACAGTGCTGTTTGTTTGGTTTCTTAAGAGCTGCTTTCTGGCCCAGTGATCAGACACTGCTGGTTGCTAACCTGATACACATTTCCTCCTCCTCCTTAACTAATAGAACCCCAGTTTTGCTTAGAGTAGCAGCATGTCCACTTAGACAACTCCTCCCCCAAGCCTCCCTGGCCAAGAGTAGCCCTTCCCCCTGTTGCTAGCTAGTAAAATATAGACATGAGATTGGAAGTTTTGTGGTAAGATTGTCTGCTGAGAGTAAAATGGATGAACGACCTCTCAGAGGTTTTAGTGAAGAAGATGCTCATGCATGTGAAAGTCTTGCCTGGTTAGCAGTGGGCCTCTAGTGGGGAGGAAGCAAAGCAAACAGCACAGTGTAGGAAGGAGGGGTCCAGTGGAATAGAGACCGCAACAAGGAAGAAAGACGGAGAGTGGGATGCCAGCTGGGATAAGGAGCCTCAAAGCAGGGGTTTTATGAGAGGCTGCGGTTGTTAGAAGCAATACTGGAGAGCATGGGGGCCACAGTGTGCGTGGAAATAAACAGCCCTTCTTTGATGATTGTTGTCAAGTAGGTTTTTTCCAGGGCATAGCCAAGTTTAAGTTAAGGCGAGGCAATGAAGGGAAAGTTTAGGGAAGTTGTCGAGGACATCAAAGAGCTTGTCACTCAGGGGAATCTCAGAGTGCACCATGGTAACGGTTTCCAGAAGGGCAGGAATTTGGGGTTTCTGGATGGGGCATGAGGAATGCAGAAGATTGTCATGATGACAGTACTGAGAGAGAAACTAAGATCAGAGCTGGGGGTTGGCTGAGACTTTCGGCTGTGACCAGTCAAAACAATTTGGAGGGAGGATGGATGAAATCCCAGCAGGTTCTAAGAAGACGATGGACACTTGGGTCTAATACGATTCACGTATGGCTTGGAAAGGAGAGCCTGCAGTCATGCTGTGGATGCAAGTATTCCTTTGGTCTGCTAGGATTAGCAGCCCTCAAGGGTATAGCAGTAGCAGGCACCAGCTGGAAAGTGATCCCAAATGCACGTGGTCCTTGCATGAGGGGATCATCTTAAGTGGTACTCAGAAAGGGGGGTTGTGCTCTGCTTGGTTGGGGATTGGAATTTATGTACTAATTTTGGCACACCAGCAGCTGTGGACTCTCAGTCTCACCCAGAGGACTGCACCTGGATTTTATTGCAATGGCCTCATGACTCGTTTCCCTGACTCAAATCTTACTTTGTTCCAATGTTTTGTATGCAGCTACCACAGTACCCTCCTATTATTTTTTATTCTTGTTGGTAGCTTTTAATTATAAAACTAACGCATGCGAGAAAAAAACTGTAAACCTCTGTCCTACGCAAGAGAAGGGAAAGCCTTTCCTCATTCCCAGATTCTGCTGCCTTAGAAATTTAACACTGGACAAGTGAACCTTCTGTCAGACTTTGTTCTGTGTACGTACAAATATACTGTTTTCTTTTCATAAAAGTTGTCATACCTTTCATTCCATATCTTTTTTTAAACATATCTTTCTATGTCAGCATATGTAGTTCTATTTCGTTCTTAATAGCTGCTTAGTGTTTGATCATATGGATGTACCATAACCTGTTTCATCCATTTTCCTCTCCAGGTGTTTTGTAACAAGCAGCAATAACGCAGTGAACGATACTGTTTATATAGCTTGCTTTCCTTTCCTCTGTTCTCCACAGTGCTCCCAGGGTGATCCATTGAGAGTACTAAGCTGATTATATTACATTTGACTTTTAAATCCTCCACTGCCTTTTTCCTCCTTTAAGATAAAATCTTTTTACAAGACTTTTCATGTTCAAACTCTTAACTGTCTTTCAGGCCACACCTCTTGCTGCTACTCTTCACTCTCTGGACCTTAACCTGGCGTATGCATCCTTTAGGTATTGTATCCCATATCTGCTTTAACAACGCTTTTCACACTTTCACAGTATTGCCTGTTTAATTATGTATCTTGTCTTCTAAACTGTAAGGTGGGAACTTTAAGTTGTTGAGTGTTTTACTCCTAGTACTTGACCCATAGTAGGTATTCATTTAAATGTTTAAGGTTTTTCAATAAATTTTGTGCCTTTTCTTTTTTGCTTGGCATTTCATTGTAGGCTTAACTTAAAATAAGGGCCGGGTTTTAAATGATTGTATAAGGCAAAAGTTGCATGGAGTCAGTATTTTTTTCTAAGCACTAGAGTCACGCTCAGCATTGCAGGTGTTCTACCAGGACAGGCACGCAGAGACTAACACTGTTGAGAGAGCTGCAGCTTAAGGTTTGTTCACATTCCCTCCCTCTCTCATTCCCTCTCCCACTCCCCGGCACAAGCCCGTTAGTTTCTTTTGTGTGGTCAGTGTTCATTTGTTGCTACATTGTATATTATATTAAAAGGAGTGGAATGACCCAGTGTTGGTGAGGGTGCAGTGTTCTTTAGGCTTCTGATGGAAGCGTAAATTAATACAGCCTGTCTGGGGGACATGTAAGCAGTGTGTGTCCAAAGTGAGAATATTCATAACCTTTAACCTAACAATTTTTTCTGAGCTTTTATAAAAGAACTGCATTCAAGCATGTATAAGTAACATAGTCTTCTCAGTTTTATGCTGTAATGAAAAACTGGAAAATTCCTAAATTCATAATAATAGCTAATTGGTTTTAAAAATTATGTATGTCCATAAAATGGAATATAATGCAGTCATTAAAATGTAATTATATATTTATTGATGTGGATGTATGTAATATAGTGTGATTTTTAAATACAATTACACAATATCAGAGTGTGAACATGTTTTTATTAAAAAATATATTGTAAATATATATATATATGTGTGCACTGAAAATATCCTGGAAGCATGTAAACCAAAATGTCACCAGTGGTTATTTCTGAGTCATAATTTTCTTCTTTTACTTGTGTGTTAAGTTTTCTAGTTTACATAGGAAACAAACCTAAGTTGTCTATTTTTTTAAGTAAGCATTTCCATATGAACTTAATAAATAATTTCCAAAACAATGATTTTAATATCTTCAAAGTTGTAAATAGATTTGCTTAGCCTGTTCTTGGATATATAGATTCTACCCATTTTTTTAAATGTCATAATTTTTTTAACATTTTTAAAACCACCTTTTCTGTCTCCAACTTTTTAAAGGCAACTTTTTGAAAGTGTTACTATAGGGCATGGGCTCTTTTTAAACTTGATGTATAAATTACCTCTAGGCAACTTTCAAAATCTGAGGGAAACAAATAAGGTGCTATAAGTATAGGGGGACCTATGTTAGACAAGGCCATCAGGAAAGGCCTGCACGAGGGCACATTTAAGCTGAAATCTGAGGGAAATTAAGGAGTCATCCATGGGGCATGGGGGAGTGGAGGAACAGAAGAGCTTTCTAAGTAGGACAGCAAGAGTGAAAGTCCTCATTTAGACCTTGGTGTATTTGTGGGGAAAAAAAATTATAGGCAGTAGCAGGAACTCTGTTAGGCAAGGGGGTAAGGAAAAGAGTATGTGAAACCAGGTGGGAAAGTAGGCCAGATCACAAAAGACCACTTATGGCAGGAGTTTATATTTTTATTTGAAGAGCTATGAGAAACTCTTTTGGGATCTTTGATAAGAGATTGAAATTATTTGTTTTAAAAAGATCACACTGGCTGTTGTATAGTCTTGGGAGACTAGGAGGCTACTTTAGTAGTTCATATATGAAATTTGAATGACTGAAAATGGTGTCATTTCCTTAGCATACAGAGTTCTTTTAAGACAATAAAATAAGACATTTGTTTAACATAAACAGGAAATTCAAACTATTATATGTCATGACTTAAACTCACCTGTAATTTAAGAAATGCATATCGGATAAAATACTTTTCATGTATTGGCAAAACTTCACCTTGAGTCTGACATTTCTAAAATATTTTCTGATCACTTTGCATTTTTCTACATAATATGTTGTCCTCCATGATATTGAGGGTATTGGTGATGCAGAATTTTGTCTTTTTTTTTTTTTTAAGATTTTATTTTTTTCCTTTTTCTCCCCAAAGCCCCCCAGTACATAGTTGTATATTCTTCGTTGTGGGTCCTTCTAGTTGTGGCATGGGGGACGCTGCCTCAGCGTGGTTTGATGAGCAGTGCCATGTCCGCGCCCAGGCTTCAAACCAACGAAACACTGGGCCGCCTGCAGCGGAGCGCACGAACTTAACCACTCTGCCATGGGGCCAGCCCCGCAGAATTTCTTAAAAGAATTCTTTTCTTAAAATTCATTTCTTAAAGGAATTTTTTAGACACCAGATGAATAATTTGTTTACCTTTTCTTTACTACCTTTTTCTCTCCTACTCTTTAAAGACTGAAAGTGTTGCTGAAGATTTGGACTCTTTCTTCCAAGTCACATCTGCAAGTTTTGCTGCCTCTCTGCTCTGAGATTCCTTCCATCTCTTCAGAGGGATTTCATACGTTTCCTGTCCTTAGTTCATTGTTTCATATGATAGGAAATTCTTTGATGGCATTTCTCAGTAACATTACCTGACCCAGCTATTTGTGGTGTCTTATTTTAAATCCTCTAAAGCATTTGGGTTTTGCTTTCCAAAAAGTATGGAATTTTGGTGATTGTTGCAACAACTATTTACTTCACTAATATTGAATGTACCTGTTGCTCTACATTCATGGTAACTTCTTGTTTTAATGCTGAAGCTTAGTGTAATAATCTTTTGAGAGACTTCTAAAAACTTTTTTTTATCAAAGCATGACAATATATAGAGAAATCTGTACCGCTTAGTGGGTTCCCCCAAATAGAATACACTTCTTTAGCCAGCTTGTAGAGCAAGAGAGAGCCAAATTAGTGCTTTCACCACTTCCCCAGTGTTGCTGGGATCTTACACTTGTTCTACTCTTTTTATTCCCTCAGGTTATCTGTTACAGTCAAGCTTTTATATGTTTTTATTTATTTGTTTTTGAGGAAAGATTAGCCCTGAGCTAACATCTGCTGCCAGTCCTCTTTTTGCTGAGAAAAACTGGCCCTGAACTAACATCTGTGCCCAGCTTCCTCTATTTTGTATGTGGGATGCCACTACAGCATGGCTTGATGAACAGTGTGTAGGTTTGTGCCCAGGATCTGAACTGGTGAAACCTGGGCCACCAAAGCCAAGTGCGTGAACTTAACTGCTACACCACCAGGCTGGCCCGTCATACCTTTTAAAACTTCATGTATATTTTAAACTCCACCAGGTACCATTACTGTGTTAATATTCATTTATGTCAAGGCTTGCAAACTTTCTCTGTAAAGGCTCAGATAGGAATATTTTAGGCTTTGCAGGCCATATATAGTTGCATATTCTTCGTTTTTCAAACAGTTATTTAAAAATGTGAAAACCATTCTTAGCTCAGAGGCCCTGATCTGGCCAATAGGCCATGGTTTCCCAATACTTATATTTACCAACATATTTACCTCCAGTGTTCTTCATTACTCCTGCACTGCGAAGTGTCCATCTTGATCATTTCATACTGCCTAAAGAACTCATCTTAATATTTTTTCTGGCATAGGCATGCTACCACAAATTCCCTCCATTTTTATCTGAAACATCTTTATTTCCAGAGGATTTTTAGCTTGGTATAGAAATCTAGATTGGCAGAGGTGTTTTTTTAATTTCAGCACTTTAAAGGTGCCATTTCATCATCTTCTGACTTCCATCATTTCATATGATAAGGAAGCTCTCAGTCTCAGTGTTGCTCCTGTGAGGTCGTGTGTTTCCCCCTTTGGCTTCTAGTAACCAGGTTTTTTCTTTTATTGTGGTGTGCAGAGTTGTGATCTTTCTATTGAGCCTGCTTGGAATTTGCTGAGCTTGGATCTGTAGGTTGATATCTTTCATCATTTTGTAAGGTTCTTGATTAACTCTTCAAACTGAAATTGAAAACACATCTGAAATTAAGCGTTTAATAGATGGACTTAACAGCAAACTGAACACAGCGTAACAAAAGATCAGTGAACTGGAAGGCAAGTCAATAAAAAAATACTGAAACAGAGAGATGGGGGTGAGGGGAATGAGAGAGGATGAAAGCGTAAGAGACATAGACATTTAGGACATACTCAAACGTTCTAACGTGTAATTAGAGTCTAAACGAAGAGGATGACATATGAGAAATATTTGAGGAGTTAAGTGCTTATTATTTATAGATTCTACTTACCAGTGGAAATTCTTCAGTATTTTTGCCTTTTTCTTCCATCCTTTTCTGTATTTTCTTTAGTATATTAACCATACTTATATTTAAATCCTTGTCTTTCTCTTAGTTATTGATTGTATAATCCTGTTCTTCACATGCTTAGTAATTTTTATTGTATGCTAGACATGTTTAAAAGAACCCTAGGGGCCCCAGGTGATGTTACCTTCTACCAGAGAGTTTCTCTTTTCCTGTCTTACGGTTTGAGGCGCTCATCATGCCTGTACAACCACAGATTGAGCTGGGTCAGAGCTAGTTTGAATTTTTAGTAAGACTCAGTTTACCTCTATTTAGCCTTTGTACTTTGGATATGCCTCTCATAAACTTTAAATCTGAGGGCTTGGTAGGTCCTAGCCTCCTTAACCTCCTGCCCCATGCAGCTTCAAAATTTGACAAATGGCTTGAGAAAGAGACTGGCCATGTATTTAAGTAGTTACCCTTCACTGGTGGGTTTTTCATTCCCAAGTACCACAGACACTGCAGACACTTGACTCTGCCTTTTAGAACCTGTAAGTCTAGCTCCCTACCTCCTGCACAGCCCTAAAGCCCAGCAAGCATCCCACGGGGGAGAACCAGCTGTGCAATTGAAGCTTCTCAAGTTTCTAATCTGCCAGCTCAACCTCAAGTGACCACTATAACTTTTGTGATTCTCCTTCCCCCAGCAAAGGCCCTTTGCCTGGGCCAAGCCCAATCTTCAGCCCACGTCCAAAATCAGTAAATGTTTACAAGGGGAAAAAAATTGCCTGTGATTCTCAGATCCCCACAGAAGGGTTGTCCTCTCTTTGGAATTTTGATTCATCTAGTCCTTATTGCTTCCACAGCTCTAGGATGCCTTTAAAAATATGATTTTTATAATTAATCTTCTTTATCTGGTTGTTGCTACCATACTGCATCCTATCTAGAAGCAGCCTTTTGAAGATGTAAATAGCAGTTAAACTCTATTGCATAGTAACAACATTGCATTCAGTTGAAGGGATAACAGTTAAGAGATATAACCATATCTGACATGCACAACTGCATGACAGTGCATCTAGGAGTGGCCAGAGGTTGATAGTCCCTCAGCTGTACGCTTGATTGTAAGCAGGAGAATTACTCAGAAGGTAAGCTCAAATTAATTCAGAAAAGGTTTCACACAGACAGTATTATATAGGGAGTCATATTCCAGAAAAGATTGCACGTGTTATGTGAAGAGTGCTCTTCTATAAAGGATAGACATGTTCATTGGGAGTATGATGCTTTTATAATGTATGGATAATTGAATAATCATGACAACAGAGTAATAAAAATATTTTAACTGTCACAGAGGTATAAATAATGGTTGCATTCCTGAGTGCTTCCCATAAATTTCACACATCTTAAATACAAACCTAAGAAAATTGTGTCTGAAATACAAATTCTTACACTACATAGATCAAAATATTCAAACTGGCTGTTTACCCCTTCACATAATTGAGATGGTTACATGTATATCACCATTGTTTCTCTGTCTCAACAGTACCAATTAAGACTGCAATAATGTTTTGCTATACAAGTAATTTAAAGTGTGGTATTATATACTTTTCTCCTGTTTGCTTTTAGATCTTAATATGTCTGGCTATTGTAACCGAATTTCCTCTTGAAAAACAGGCAACATTTTTTTAGTCAGCTACCTCTAGAAAGCACCACAGCTTACAAAAAATGATTCTTATGTTAAATATGGAAAGATGTAACAGATTTATGTGCTAAAATTGAGTGGAAGAAAGCAGCTATGAACCTTGCCAGCACCTTCTTGCTGTAACAAAGCATACTGAATAAACAAAAATATCCAAACTATTCATGAGTGTTTTGACATCTCCTTTACTATATACTCTAGGAATTACCTGTATTTAATGGTTTTAATACTTTATCTGTATTTTAATTTGGTTGAAAATAATAGCATAGTTCTTATTTTCTGAAATATTTTACAAGTTAATGAGAGGACTGTTCGATGAGTTACATAGTTCAGAATGACATTGCATGAAGGGGATTTTAGGGGAAAGTTCTTGTTTTGATAACATGATTCAGGTAATATATCTGGTGGCAAAGGGACTCCCTGCCTGACTGCCCCTCACTTACCTGATCATACGCCTCTTGTCGCTTTTTTCTCCATCATCGTTGACTCTCCCTTGCTCCACAAAGAAAGTCACATTTGGTTTAGAAATAGAGTCCTGCTTACAAGAGTGACAAAATACTTCAAAATATTATGGTTTTTCCTAGATCCAGACCCAATCTCTTAGTAAAGGGAAAAGAAGCTATTACAAGAACAATAGCAGGAAAAAGACTGCAAGGCACTTCCCACTTCCACTGATTTTAAATCATTTCCTCAAGAATATGGAGTAGGAATTCAGCCAGGCAGTTTGGAGCCCACCCCAGTATCTCCTATGGAGAAAGCAGATACCTAAATTCAGTGACCTGCTCAGACCAGCTTCCCATAGTTCTCCATCATTACACTTCCATGTAAATTTGGGGGGCAGGGTCCAGTCAGCCCCATTCCTCCTCAGAGAAGTGTATGGCCACATCCCTGAGTGATACAAACTTTTGAAATGACAGATACACTCTTGTTCACCAAAGGCCCCCACGTGCTGGGGAAAGTAAAGATGCTGGCCACACTCTGGGAAAGGGAGGATTTGTGCACCGGAGAGGTGCTGGTGGAGATTGAGGCTTTGAGTAATTCTAGAAAGTAATTGTTAGGCAGGAGCTATGTGTTCTGATGTCACATTGAGTGGGAAAGAAAAATGCCAGCCTTTCATTTTGTGAACGAAAATCTATATATACATGAAAAAGTATACTTCAATGAGGCACTTATTCAAGTGCTAAAATGCATATTACATACACTAAATGCGAAGGAAGTTCTTAAAAGGAGGTAGGTAGATGCTTCAAAGATAAACCTTTAACTGGGACATTAAAAAATGGGCAAGGTGTACAAGGCAAAACATAATCTGATTTATTTTGACAAATATGTGCTTACAAAAGCAGGGTTCTCACTGTAAATGGAAAAGAGAAAGACTGCCTTGGCATTTTCCTGTGGTGTACCTTATGTACAAGTATGTCAGACTAAGACATGTCTAGTCAGATTCAAGGATAAACATGAGTTAGTATAACCTTAAACCCAAACTCTATCTCAAAGTTAAAACCCTAAGATACGTAAAAATGTTTCTATAGTTACATTTGTATGATATTTCTACAAAAGCACACTCCTCTTCATTATTGAAAATACTGTGATAGTTGGATTTTCAGAATCACATACACTGTGGAAATAAACTCAGCAAGTAACAGGTTAATTTACTATAAATCAAAAGATTTATTCATAGCTTTCTTTTCTGAATTTGCTAAACCCGCCCCCCCCCCCCCAAAAAAAACTTCCCCAGGGGGCTGGCCCCGTGGCCGAGTGGTTAAGTTCACACACTTCACTTCGGTGGCCCAGGGTTTCACTGGTTTGGATCCTGGGCGTGGACATGGCACTGCTCATCAGGCCACACTGAGGCAGTGTCCAACATGGCACAACCAGAAGGACCCACAACTAAAATATACAACTATGTACTGGGGGTACTTGGGGAGAAAAAGCAGAAAAGAAAAAAAAAAGATTGGCAAGAGTTGTTAGTTCAGGTGCCAATCTTTAAAAAAAAAAAAATTCCCCAAACTGATTCCCTCCAGTATGACTTCTCAGAACTCTAAGATTTTGCCACACTCATTTAATTACAATGGTAGTTTTTTCCCATTTAATTCTGTTGGTTTGAAATACTGCACAGTCACCCTATATTCAGTTCATTTACAGAGCTGCTTTTTCTCTTTAGAAGAGTATTTTAAAATTTACTAAGTATTGGGTGGTACACAAAGCCGTTCTCAAATCACTGTTTTTATGCCTTTGCTTCATTAGGAATTTTCTCATGTCCATGAAAAAATGCACCCTTACCCATCATGTATTCTGTCCTGCTTGAGCTGACAGATGCAGAATGAGCGCCAGTATCTAATTAACAGCTTTCTCACATTTATTGGACATGTGTCCTTTCCCAGGAGGAATTTACAAATGCAGGGTAAAGGAATCCCACCAGATGAAGAGCCTTCTCAATATTGATTGATGTTATCTTCTGATATTACAAAAAGAACAAGCAGCTAGTAATGGCTTTCCCACAAATTCCTGGATTTTTCTCCAGGATACTGAATAAAGCATGGATCACATTTCTTCACATTCGACATATTCACATAAGGCTTCTTTCTAAGAGTTCTCTGAAGTCAAAGTAAGGCATTAGCTACTTTTTTTTTTTTAATCTCTACATTCTTAGGTTTCCTCGACAGTGTGAATTCCCTGGTGTTCAGTAAGGAATGAGTGGTAATTAAATGAATTTTCATATTCATAGGGGTTCTCCAGAGTGTGTGTTCTCTGATGTTTAGCAAGGTTTGAGCTCCAGCTGAAGGATTTATTACATACCTTACATACATAGGGTTTCTCCCCAGTATGAGTTATCTGATGTAGAATGAGGGAAAAGCTCCGACTAAAGGTTTTGTCACATTCAGTACATGCATAGGGTTTTTCTCCAGTATGAATTTTCATATGTTGCGTAAGGGATGCATGCCATGTGAAAACTTTACCACATTCCTCACATTCATAGAGCTTTTCTCCAGCATGAATTCTCTGGTGTTTAATCAGGAATGAGTGGCAGCGGAAGGCTTTCCTACATTCATTGCATTCATAGGGGGTTTTGGTAGTATGGATGGTCTGATGTCGAGTAAGATGTGAAGAACGGCGAAATGCCTTCCCACATTCAATGCATTCATAAGGCTTCTCTCCAGTGTGTGTAATCTGATGACGAATGAGTTCTGAGCCACTGCTAAAGGCCTTCCCACATTTCCTACATATATATTGTTTCTTTCCTATGTGAATTCTCTGATGTCGAGTGAGGTTTGAGGCACGGCTGAAGGCCTTTCCACATTCAGTGCATTCATATGGTTTCTCCCCAGTATGTGTCCTCTGGTGTTCAATGAGAAATGAAAGGTAACTAAATGTTTTATTACAGTCCTTACACTCATGGGGTTTCTTTCCAGTATGTATCATTTGATGTTTCACAAGGTTTGAGATCTGGCTAAAGGTTTTGCCACATTCCTTACACACATATGGTTTCTCTCCAGTATGAGTTCTCTGATGTAACACAAGGGAAAAGCGCCGACTGAAAGTTTTTCCACATTCATGGCATCCATGGGGCCTCTCCACAGTATTGATACTCATGTGTTGAGACAGGGCTTCTTGATGAGAGACTGTCACTCGCCTAATACATCCTTGATTTCCTTGCAGCATCTCAGTAGCATCCTCATATTTCCAGCCCCCTTTAAAACGAGAAGACTCAGGGCCCTGGCTTAGGATTCTTTCCATTATCAAATACTGAGATGAGTCATCTTCACATATGACTTTTTTTGGAGACAACACTTGGATCTCACCATTTGACTCTGAAACTGAAAAGACAAGGCAAATGTTTCTTTTTTTATGTATTGAGTAAAATATAAGCCACTCCTCCTTTTAGAAATGAGAGAACTGAATGGGAAAAAAAAAATCTTAGTATTGCATGGCTTTCATTGTTGTCATATATGACTCTAAAATCTGAGCAGTATGCCCAGAAATTCAGAAGACATCAGACAGAGGAGAGATGTAAGTGGATAGGGAGAAAGACTAAATATAAGTAACTGAAGGTGAGGGTAAAATTGAACTGTAAGGAAGATACATATTTGAGCAGCATAGGTTGCCAGTCTTCCTCACCTCCATTTAAACTTTATTTACTGCCAGAATGACTTGAAAATGGCAATTTCATAATGCTGCTAATAAACTACAAGTGTTCCTCAAGGTCCTGCAAAGACACCAGACTCTATTCACTTATGCCTTTGGAACATCTTACAGTAACTTACTCTAAATAAATAAATAAAGGCTTGTCTGAAAGCTGTCTTCTAAGCTCCTCACTCTAACTCTACTTTCCAAACTGGTGTCTGAAGCTCAACTTTGGTATACAGCCTCTTTCCATCAAAGGCTTTTGATAGAGAAACACAGGCCCTGATTCTTCTCTAGGCTAAATTTTAGGAAGGGACTTTATCATGTTTTGGGGAACAGAATTTTATGATAATATGAAGGTTTTTTAAAAACATAGTCTTATATCCTTGTTCTTAGGAAATAGGGGTAAAAGGCCATGATGTATAAGACTCATTCTCACATGTTTCAGGAAAAAAACTATATAGCAAATGATAAAGCAAATGGGGAAAAATGTTAGCAATAGGTAGATGTGAGTAAAGGGCATATGGGTATTCTTTGTACGATTCCTGCAACTTTTTTGGAAGTTTAAAATTCTTTCCAAATACATTAAAAAATGCATTTTTCATAAAACACACTTTGACATTTATTTTGTTTGGGGGAAATGCTATCTTTTATTACCACTGACTGTAAGCTTCTAGGGAAAAGTAAATAGACCTCATATTTCTTTAACACATATCTAAGGAATGAATCGAGAGATAGGCAAATAAAAATGGAAGATTAGGATGGGGAGGCAGTGAAATAGCTGTTAAGAAAACGATGATCTCAGTAAAGAGAAAACCTTAAATTACTCTCCTGACTCTTCTATAAACCAGTTCCATACCTACTGAGCACCTCAGTAAGAGCCCTGGGGATAAACTCAATAATTCTCTTCAGGAGCTGAGAATATAAATAGGGAGATAAAGAGGACACAGGAAAAAACAATGATATAAGAAATGAGAGTAAGTTCATTATACTTAGAGTAAAAATTGTATAAAGGCTCAGAGACAAGACATAAAAATTCACTACAACAGATAAAGAAAGGCTTCATCTAGAAAGGCCTCACTGAGGAAAGTAGTTGGGAACTGAAACACAGTACAGCATACACCAGGTGGTTCTGGACATTTACTGCTATTAGAAAGAGCTGTTGGAGTTAGCTGCCTAGATTACTATACTATTTGCCATACGATTTCCCAGACCAGTGAGAGTAAAAAGCACAACCAAGAAAACCAGGTTCAAGATATGAGTAGAATGCTAATTATAAATCCAAAACCTCTCTTCCCTCCCTCAAAGTCATCTCACCTCCTCCCATCGCCTACTATGCTGATACTCTTTTTGGTAGATGCCAAATGGATTTGAGAAAACTTGGCACTTATCCTTATCAAAAGCCTACAGGGATACAGGTACTCATTCTTATGTAACAAAGGATTCCTACGATAAATCACCAACTAATATACTCAAAGCAAAATTTTTAGATGTTTACACTCTTATGAAAAAACAAAAATATCCTCTATCACCAGTATTACTTAAGGTCAGTGAGAAGTACTTACTATAGTAGAAATACAAGAAGAAAACAAATTTTGGAAAACAAGATTTTAGAAATCCTTACAGAGACACTTCTGGTTTCTGGTCCTGCGTGTAAGAAGCTTGTAAGTCGCCACTCCACTCTGTCCTAACAACAAGGAAAAAGCTGAACTGAGAAACCAACAACCCTCCTTAGATCCGTCAGACAAGTGAGGTCACAGGGCAAACTGCTGCCCCCAAGATTGGAGAAACAGATAGGAGGATACAGAGAGTCACAACTTACTAGAGCAGAAGCCCCTGGAGGAACCAGTGCCAGGACAGGAAAACCAGAACTGTTACTGACGCACAGCTAGAGGCTCACTACTGATAAGTCTGTGAGTTAAAAACTCCAGGGGGACCCAGTCACAGAGGCCCCCATCACACTTTTGTTTTACCTTCAGTAGTTCTACCAGGTCTTCATAGTGAATATTGAAGAAAAAGCCCCTCATGCTTCCAGCAGAGGAGGAGAAAAGGAGCCATCCTGAGGTATGCCAGAGCACTCTGTTCTCATTAACGAGGTGCTCTCAGGAGAAACTACTTTACCAGAGCCTGGGAGAAGAGAAGAACTCAACTCTGGCTCCTGCTAGTCATCCTGCCCCACCTACGTGGGGAAAAACTGAGAAGCACTAGTGAAGGTCACAGTGCATAGGCTCACCACAAACTGAGACTTAATCAGAGAGCTACAGATCGCTTCCCGGCCCCCCACAACTCACCACTACATTGCTAAAGGCCTGTTTACCCAGTACCTCACGTCCACCTTTAAACAAAAATTACAAAGCATATTAAAAGAAAAAAAAGTCTGAAGAGACTGAACAAGTATCAGAACCAGAGTTAGATATAGCAGGAATGTTGGGATTATCAGATCAGGAATTTTTAAAAGCTATGATTAATATGCTAAGGGCTTTAATGGAAAATGTTGATAACATGCAAGAATAAATGAATAATATGAGCAGAGAGAAGAAAATTCTAAGAAAGAGTCAAAGAAATGCTAATGTAAACTATGGACATTGTTTATGATGTCAATGTAGTTCATCAGTTGTAATGAATGTACCACTCTGGTGGGGGATGTTGATAATGGGAGAGGCTGTGCATGTGTAGGGGTCGGGGATATATGGGAAATCTTTGTACCATTCAATTTGGCAATGAACCTGCTCTAAAAAATAATGTCACAATTAAAAAAAATGCTAGAGACCAAAAACTCTGTAACAGAAGTGAAGAATGTCTTTGATGGGCTCAGTAGTCTGGACTCATCTAAGGAAGGAATCTCTGAGGCAGACAATATGTCAATGAAAACTTGCAAAACTAGAAAGCAAAGGAAAAAAGGCTAAAAAAAAGCAGAACAAATATCCAAAAACTGTGAGGTAACTACAAAAGGTGTAACATACACATAATGGGAATACCAGGAGAAGAGAGAAAGAAACAGAAGCAGTATTTGAAGCAATAATGACTGAGAATTTCCCCAAATTAATATCAGACACCAAACCACAGATCCAGGAAGCTCACAGAATACCAAGTAAGACAAATACCAAAAAAAACCTACAACTAGACATATCATATTCAAATTTCAGAAAACCAAAGGTAAAGAAAAAATCCTGAAAGAAGCCAGAGGAAAAAAACACTTTACCTATATGTGAGCAAAGAATTCAATTTGACTTCTCCGAAACCACACAAGAGAGTGAAGTGAAAAACTTAAAACATTGAGAGAAAAAAACCACCAACCTAGAATTCTCTACCCTGAGAAATTATCCTTCAAAAGTAAAGGAGAAATAAAGGTTTTCTCTAACAAAAATTGAGGAAACTTGTTACCAGTATATCTGCCTTGCAACATCCAACAGCCATTCATGAAAAAAACTCAACAAACTAGGAATAGAGTGAAACTCCCTCAACTTGTAAAGAATATCTACAAAAAACCTACAACTAACATCATACTTAATGGTGAGAGATTTGAAGCTCTCCCACTAAGACTGAGAACAAGGGAAGGATGTCCCTTCTCACCAATGCTTTTCACTATCCTACTGTAATTCTTAGCTAATGCAATAAGACAAGAAAAGGAAGTAAAAGGTATACAGACTTGCAAGGAAGAAATAAAACTTTGTTTGCAGATGACAGATTGTCTATGCAGAAAATCCAAAAAAAATTACAGAATTCCTAGAACTAATAAGTGATTATAGCAAGACTGCAGGATACACAGTTAATGTACAAAAAGTCAATCACTTTCCTATATAAATGGATGTTGAAATTAAACACACATTACCATTTACATTAGCACCCCCCAAAAATGAAATACTTAGGTATATACCTAACAAAACATACAAGATTTATATGAGGAAAACTACAAAACTCTGATGAAAGATATCAAGGAAGAACTAAATGGAGAGATATGCCATGTTCCTGGTTAGCAAGACTCAACATTGTCAAGATGTCAATTCTTCCCAACTTGATCTATAGATTCAACAAATTTCCAATCAAAATCCCAGCACGTTATTTATACATCTCAACAAACTGATTCTAAGGTTTATATGGAGAAGCAAAAGACCTAGATTATCTAACACAATACTAAAGGAGATGAACAAAGTCAGGGGATTGATACCTGACTTCAAGACTATACTGTAAAGCTACAGTAATCAAGACAGTGTGGTATTGTTGAAAGACTAGACAGTAGATCAATGGAACAGAGTAGAGAACTCAGAAATACACCTGCATAATTAAAGGCAAGTGATCTTTAACAAAGGAGCAGACAACACAAGGGAGCAAAGATAGTCTTTTCAACAAATGGTGCTGGAACAACTGGACATCCACATGCATAAAAACGAATCTAGACACAGACTTTACACTCTTCACAAAAATTAATTCAAAATGGATGATAGACCTAAATGTAAAACACAAAACTATAAAACTCCTAGAAGCCAGAATGACCTTACAAAATGCTCACCTGCCTAAAATCTTTTAATGACTCCCTATTAGCCTAGGGATGAACTCTGAGTTCATTAGCGTGACTTGTAAAGTGCTTGCATGATCTGCCAGTGCTTTCCATAACTGTCTTGAATTCCCACCATCTCCTCCTTACATGTTATACTTTTGCTCACTCTATACTGAACCTTATATTTTCATTTTA